AATTTTCTTTTAACTTTGTGCAAGTTGTGAAATTATTTGTGCTTTTTTAAAGAGTCAAATCTCTGACGATAATGTTGTGTTTTTATGACATTTAGAGATTTATAACTTTGCACTAATGACGGCACGATCATATGTGCATGAAAATTACAAACATGTAATTTTGTAATCTGATTTGCTTGTTTTTTTCAGTAGCAGTTAAGAGAATATCTTATTTTGTTATATTTTCACGTTCTCTTTATTATCATTCGGGTTCAACTGATTCCCAAAATTGTTGTCTTCTATATGCTTCAAATTTCAACAAACGTCAAGTTAGGATTGCCAGCCTCTGTGGCCGATTTGGGTAATCATTGCGATTTCACCCACCAGCCGTGTTGTTCCGCAACAAAATTACGAACCCCATAAATTGATTTCGTAGTCAAAAATATATATGCTTATGGGTTTTTTACGGTCCAGTGCGTGCTCGTAAAACTCGGCCATTATTTTTGACAGTACGCCATTAAAATATCAACCGGAATGGCGAATTTTTTTCCAGTCGTCCATTTTAAGACGATCTCGTACCAAATTTGGCTCTAGAGTTGACTCCTAAACCTATTTAAAATCAGGACACGGCTCTCGTCGTGCTGATGCGGCCGAGAAGCTCAGCATTATACGAAAAAGGTTCCTATCTATGCATTGTGTTTGGTTTTCTTCGAAAATGCAATTAAAATGAAAATTATATCAGTATTGTGCTCTATATATGGGAACTCGTCAAATGCTCTTGTGCTGTTATAACGCGCTGATAATACAAGTATATTTGGAGCCAACATCAAAAAAATGTCGAAAACATTTAACATCGGCATTTCAAAACTCGCTCTTGACCAATAAGATCTTGGTGGGTTCAACAGTCAATATGGTCGCTGGCACTAGCACTCTATTCGATACTTAATAATACATTTTCTGGGAAAACACGTGGAGATCACAAAATGGCACAAACAAAAATATTTTTTTGTATTGTGTATGTGTCCAATCATCGACATTTCAAATTTAAATATCAATTGAAGGTTGAAGGTTGCTTCATAAAAGCCTAAAATAGCCTAGACCTTTACAATCTGTCTTCTTAACAGCTTTACCGAGCTCTGTTAGGAAGACTATCCTTTAGCCTCTCAAATACTACGTTGGCGTTGGGGGCACAAAAATCGTTTGTAATGAAATCTAGTTTTTCTCCTTAGGCAAACAGCTTATAATACCTACCTACCTACCTATTTTGTTTGCCAAAACCTTTCTCCAATTGTCTGTAATGTTTCCATGTAAGGAGGAACAAACTATTCCAAAATTCTATCTAACCAACATGCAATATGGCGCAAACGGGAAACACTAATTAAAATAAAGATTTAGGTTATTTGAAGTCCAGGGGCGGCAGGTGTTAAATGTTACTGTTAAAATTACACAAAACCCATACAAACAGATAGGGCCCAAAATATAGAACTCAGAATCTTATTCTACATTTTTCGAAAAACAATAATTCTGTGTGTAATGTGTATACTAAAAAGAAACTACCAGACTAAATAAAAAAGGATTTTCTGGACGATTTTGTGAATAGCATTGCAAATGGCAGGTTATACCTATATTTAAATTGGAACCAAAGTTTAATTGCTGATTTGGAAAAAATCCTCGACAAAAGTCATCAATGGGTGAGTGTCCCGAGTTCCGTTTTACGTAAATTGTAAAGAAGAAAAGGGGTTTTCCGCGAATGATAATGTTGCATGTGAATAACACGCAGTCAAACCGACATGATTTATATTCGAGCATTAACATTAGTTTTAGTTTTTCTTTGAGCTAATTATTTAACATTTACAATTATCCATCGAGCATCCAGAGAGGGACTGTTAAGGTGTTTTAAAAATATAACGATTATGTATTATATTATGTTTATTTAGGTATAATAAAATCACATCAGTACTAATAGAAAATACAAGGGAATTAAATATATACAAATCTAACTGTTTCACTCTCAGAATCGTAAGAATTTTCAATTTTTAAAATGTGGTGTACTGCATTTTTTCAGCTCTTAACGGTTATATTATTACTTGCATTTTCATTTAAATTTATTATACTCGGAATTAATAATATTCAATAATAAATTTAAAACCAGACAAGCGGCTGTAGTGACTGCCGCTCAAATCAACCCTTACCTAATAAATAATGAATAAATTATTGCCTATTGCGCTTATCTAATAACAATAGGATTGCAGTGTGAAACTACGTTTTGGGGGAGGGTCCGTCAAAAGCCAAAATGGTATACTTTGAAACACACTATACTAATTGCCCATCGGAATTACTTAAATTTGGTTTTAACTTTCAGTAATCGAGTAATGGACTGGTCCAAATATTAAATTGAAATACAATTTAATTTAAATTAACCCCAAACAGAAAAATTAAGCGCGTGGAAACAAACAGCACGTGCTCCCGAGGGGAGAAAAACTCGTCGAATTTTCAATTCGAATTATTGATGTTTTATTCATAGATACCTTGCCGAATCTTTGTATATGGCCACGTGCTGTTTCTTTTTCTGTTTGGAGTCATGTGTTTCGCTACCTTATCGGGAAGTCTTTTATTGGAAAATTCCTCGGAGGTTCTCGGTCGAGGGACCGCGCGTTTATTTGGCCGTTTTTTTTTTCTTGCAACGAATACGAGCCTTCGGGAAGTAGGTATTCTTCTTGCAGAAAATAAATCCGCGTTTTTATAGTGCCGATATACAGCATTAATTACACAGGTCTACAAAATTAAACTTTTTGACATTTTTTATTTTGAAAACTGATTTTATACAATTTTGGTATGCTGATTTCAAAAAGTGCATGGACTTTATTTGTGTCACGTAAGGTTTTTTTGCAAATACTATAAAATAAAACGATACTTCTAGAATAAGTTATTTTTTTATTTATTGAAAAGTGGAATCCTAGTTTAAAAAAAAAAAGTAAAAAAAAAACTTTACCTAGACTTTTTTGAGTGAAATCTTCGTCTTTTTGTCAGAAAGCGGCGTTGTCCGAGCAATCGGCTGTGTGTTTTCAAGGGTAAGGGTAACGCCGTTCCATTTCCTTAATGTCCTGGCAAAACCTCTCTCCATGTTATTCGCTAACTGCTTCAAGATTTTCAGAAAATGCACTTTCAAACTCATATAACAATCTAGACGATGAAAGTGTTATAACATATTTTGAAGACTACTTTAGTAGTTTTCCTCCTTAGAATTGCCAGGATACTTATCAATTACTTCTTTAAATGAAACCTAGGCTTTTTTCTCAACAATGATCATTGCGTTATGAAAACCCTTGTCTTTGCAAAATGTTCTTATCTGCGGCCCAACAAAAATAATTTCTTTTATCTTGGGACTAGATACGGCATTTGTAAGGCTTGTTCTAGAGAGCCATTCTATTTGAGTCCAATGTCTATCTCTTGCCCGACTATCCCACTCACAAATAAAGGATGGAAATTTTGTATAACCCCCCTGTTGTCCTAGGCAGTCTATTTCCTTCAAAAGAAGTCCTCAATTTTCATACGTTTCTTTTAAATGGACCAAATGTGCATCGGGAACGCCTTTTAAACTATACTTACTTAAGTCAATTAACACGCGCCATTCTTCTTTTATATACGGCACAGGCACAGGTGCCAGTAAATGCGTCACGAAGTTTGGATGCCGACAATTCTGATACATCCATTGGAAGGTGCAAATCTCTAATTAAATCATTTAGTTCGCTCTGGTTAAACACTTCGGGCTCTCTGAAATCTGGGTTTTGGGGTAGTAGCTATAGGTGTATCTGGTCCATGAGGAACTGGTCGAATAGCAAAGTCAAGATTAGGATACACAATTTCTTTCTTATTTTTTCTGTTGAATCCTTGAACATTACATGAACAAAAAAAAATAGTCATCGCTGCAATTCCTAAGCGCCATACCAAAGCTAAAACATTTCTTCCTACCTTTTTGCCAGTTTCATAACGCTTCAACGCAAACGAGTTTCCTGCCATCTTCATATCTTTGTTTATCCTTCTAATAACATCGTTTCATTCATTCATAGTTTGAATGATTCTAGTTTCTTTATAGTTGCCACATTTAGGATACATGCCAAACTGGTAAGACCCACAAAAGTTGAAATTACAAAAAAATAAACTGATTAATTCTTATTTAGAACCCAGTTTCAGTAACGCATAACCAAGGAGCACCGCACACCTTTTCATGACTAGAAAACCAGAGAAGTACGTTTTCGGATGACTTGTTCCCACTTCAGTTAGTGTTAAGGAGAGAACGCTCTGACAAGGCATCAAGTTTCAAATTCAAATAATCAAATTTGTACTTTAATCATGACTTGCCTGATGAAAAAATTTGTCCATGTTCAGACCTGGCACAACTTTTGGCCCTTTAGCAAAGATGAATGAACATCGTTCTCTTCATTTGAATCCATCTACTTGTTTTGCCACTGATAACAGAATCAAATAGTTGTTTGGCAGTGCCGAACTAGAACGTAATATGACTCTATCTCAGGAACCAACTTCTTAATTTTCATGTAAAACGTTTCTTAAAACTAGTTGTTCCCTTTGCGGTGCCATCTTTACTTAAACTAGGGAACTAAATAGTCGAATCAAGCATAGTTAGATGGCGCGCATGCGGTAGTGATGCCATCTCTCGTACACAACATAAAAATTATCTTTCAAAACTGATAAAGCAAAGTAAGCATAATCCTGTTGCAATCGAAAGGTAGTATGTGCTCGGTAAATACATTTTTGCTTATAGCTTAGCCATTTAATTCAAACGTGTAAAACTCTAAAATATATCATTTATAGTGTCAAAACTTAAAAAACTGCTCAAAAAAGAATTGCTTCGTGTCTACCACCAAAAAAATACTTTTTAGAAATTAATTCAGGAATACGTGTAAAATTTGCCTTTTAAAAAAAGACAGTTGATTATAAACTGACATATCCCCTTGGTATCTTTGCCCAACAGGGTTACTAAAGAAGTAGATGAGGAAGAAACGACGAGGTTATATACATTATTTTGCCGTTCCCGCTCGTTTTTAATAAATAACATTCACGAATAGATGTGAAATTTTAACCCTGTTTTCAGTAAGCTGGTGACATTTGTCAAAAATTTTCCAGATGCGAAATGGATAGCCCAACAGAAAACGCATCTAAACAAATACCAACGATGGATAAGGTGGATGCAGAGGTAAATTTGATGGAGTATAAAAGACAAATGCGCACAGTAAAGACTAACCTAGCGCTGAAAGCCGAGAGATTGCTAAAGACTTCCTCACTAAAGCAACTGGAAGTTTTTATTAACTCCAACGCCTATGATGTCCACAATGAAGTTCTTTCTATAATCAATAATGTCAACATTGAATTGTGGGTTAAGCTGCATGTAATCAATTTGGTTTCGGCCTATCTACGGACAATTATTTGTAATTATGACTTGGATTCTTTAGCTGCTGTGTATTTAGTATGGAAAGACTATGATAGAGATAAGGTAGGCAGGATTATTAACTGCTACTTAAATCTAACTAACAAGTTTGTAGTTTGATGCGAATATGACAATGTATTCAAGACGTTAACCATTCTGTTTTGTTGCAGTTTTTGAAAATGCTTCACCAAACATGCCATGAAGAAAATAATACAATTTGTAAAACATTTTTCTTAGTGCATTTAGTACCAGCAATAATGCAACCATCCCCTACCGACTATGACAAAAAGGGCTTACTTATTGATCTTGCCTTTATGTTTGTGCCTTGCTACCCAGTAACTTGTTGGACAGAAGAGGAATATGAAATTTTTTTGGCAAATATAAACAAATATATAAAAAATATTTCGGATTTAAGGGATGCCAATTATGCACACTGGCATAGGCTGTGGATGTTTTTAGTCAGAGTATTTGGTAAAAAATTGCACCACTCCATGTCACTGGTCAATCGATTGTTGCGTGTAGTAGAAAGTGCATTTAGAAATTCTTCCTGTGAACAGAGATTGAAAGGTTATGATTGCTGGAAGGTAGGATTTGGTAAAGTGACTTAGCTGCCAGTGTGATATGTAATTCATTTTAGGAGTTGATAGACAATGCAAGTCTGGATAAGAAGCATTTGAGCAGCTCCAAGCAATTACGTTTACTCCTAACCCCATTGAAAGCCAAGTTTTCAAAGCAAGAATCTGTGATAATGAAAAGGTTTGAGGTTTTTGGTTATTTGCTGGAAAAACTTCAATCAGACAGTACATTGATATTAAAGGAGTTATTAGAGTTTTGTTTTGGTGATGTTAGTGAGCATGTTGACCCCACTAAAGTTGGTCACAGCAAAAGTGTTCCACAACTTCGGATTGAGAGTGCAAAACTTTTACTTGCTATTATAGGTTAGAATGTTTATTCTTTTTTTTACGTAGCTCATGGGTACAAGCATTGAGTATTTTAGGTCATGCACATAATGAAGTTGAACATTGTTTATCTACTGATGGAGAGATAAGATTAAATCGTCCCGTAGTAAATACTGAAAACTTTTATAAGTATTATTGCTATGTTATTAAATCTGTAGATGAGTGCTGTAAACTTCTCAGAGATGTTGAGTTAGAACATCGGATCAGTGTAAGTAAAAAGGACCTAAACAATTTTTAAAATAATTAGTTATTCCCAATGAATAGGTGTTGCAGTGTTTTTGGCAATCAACACTGAACTTAATATTCAAATCAAGCGGTAACAGACTGGATTCCTTAAATCTTTTAAACAATATTATTGAAGAAAATTTAATGGTATGTCAGATATCAGTTTGTATTTTAGTTATAGTGTTCTTGTTTGAACATTCACGAGATAATTGTTTTTGAAATGCAGAGATTGTGACTTTATTTTTAAGGACAACAATCCATACTCCAAGAGCCTTGTATGCCTGATGTTTAAAGCCGCGATGAACATTGAGAAAAATTTAATCCAAGACTTTGTCATAAAAAATTTAAACTCTTTGCTGAAGGTCATATTTTCTGTACCTTTAAGGGACCATAGGTATTTATATTTGTAATATATTTTGATAAAATATTCTTACTCTATATGAACTTCAAGTTATTATGCATCTGTGCTGAAGTTTTGTGATATGATTTTCACCATAAATGAACTAGAGGAGAAGTCGAAAATTAGAAGCCATATATTTCGTTGTTTTACCGATTTCAAAACCATTGAATGCAATGTTTATTTTGTTGCGGAAATTTGGATCCGTTTAGCGAGCGAGTTGGACGATCGCCCAAAGGAAAAGCTGGATTTTTTGCTGTGGCCTGCACTTTACCTTCAACATCTGCAGGGTTACGTGAGTATATTCATTATTTTCGACAAAAGCTATAAGTTGAATCGACAAAAAATTATCAATTAATTTAATTATTAATTAATTGTATTTATAGGAGAACCTCGGCATCAAGGTTGTGGAAAATTATGGAGTTCTAATAACAAAATATGTACAGAAATTTGAGGAAATCAGGATCGCCCTGTTTAAGGGCTACAAGAAACTGCTAAGAAACAACCCTCTGCTTTCGGGTAACATTTTAAAGCTTGTGGAGCTTTTTCCGACAAACTTTGAAGACCTGGAAGGCAGTGAGTTAACTTTCATTTTACTCTTGTCCATTAATTAATGACAACTAATATTTATACATTTATAAAAGGATGAAATTCTCTGACATTTCATTTAATTTTTCAAAGAAACTTCGATTCATGCTGCGTAGGTCGACCTTTAGAGCTTACCTGAAACTGGTTCGCTTTCTACTCTGTATCTGCTTGATATTGTTTGAAGGGGGGCGGAGGTACAGGAGGAGCATAAATATTGTCTCGAATGATTGATTCCCATATTGATAACAAATCATGTATTTTTCGTTTGTAGAAGAATTTTTTATTCCCAAGAATCTATAGAAATTTATAAGCAACTTAACAATCTTAACCGCGACTCAGGTCGGAGACTATGTTTATGCCCCTCCTTTAGCTTCCTCCCGTTAAACAATATATATCAGCAGGTACAAACTAGAATGCGAATCAGTTTCCGTTAAGCTCTGAAGAAGCCAACAGGATGATTGGCGAAACGTTAGCAAGTTCGACTCAACAACAACCAGAAGTTTTGTTAATAGTATAACTGTTTTTGGTGTTTTCCAGCCACGGTCATGTTCGACATTTTTTCGCAAATTCTTCAAGTTCCCTCGTTTATTCAGGGCAAGGAGCAGAAAACAATCATCGAATGTTACCTAAAAGCGTTCCTCGACCAGAAAAGTGGGTTTTCAACGCTGGCTCATCCCAAAAGCATTGAAAGTCTTTGCCGTTGCCTAAGGCACCTTTTCGAAAATCAACAGTACGACTGTTTAAATAACCTGGAACGTTTTGTGGAAGTTGCTCCAGACCCTATAAAGGAATCAATCCTAAAGCTTTTGTCAGTTCCATTGACAGATATGCTGAAAAAAGAGACGGATTTAGCGAAAATTTCCCAAATCGATAGGTTAATTCGAACTTTGCAAGATACAAAAATTGCGGAACCTAAAGAGGAAACGGAGATACCTCTCGCTATTGGCGGCAGATCAGCGAAAATCGCCAAACTGGCCAAAAATATCCCCAAGAGTCCCATGAAACGGTTGGATTCGTCGCCGCTCCGTTTATTTGGCAGGGATGTTGATAATTTTTCGTCGGTAAATCTCAAGGGCAGCCAACTAAAGAATGTTACTCCCACAAAAAAAGGCACAGGAAGTTCTACTCCGAATAAAATGTCCAAGCCGTCGCTGATGGATGAGAGTTCCAGCAAATTCGTTTCAATCAAATCGGAAGTGAAAATCGTGCTCGAAAATTTGACAGAACACCAAAAGGAATCGTTGAAAAAGAGACGCGAAGATATTCCCGCTCTTTATGAAGATCTTTCTCAAAGTCAGAGTCGGAGTTTGAATTCTGTTATTCATTTGGATGAAAATCAAGACGATTTCAAACAGCCACAGCGTTTGTCCAAAGATCATGACGATAACACGGCGTCAAAGAAAGATGGTGCAGAGCGAAAACTTTTGGAAGAACTGCCAAATATACCAGCTTCGTCCCCTAATGAAGATGACAAAAAAAAGCAGCTAGCCAAAGAAAAAATGCGACTGGAGTTGAAGAAACTTGAGTTAAATATTGTGGGAGCTGAAGAATTCCTCTCGCCATCCACAAAGAGGAAAAGGAAGAAAAAAATTTTTCTTAGGAAAAGTCCAAGAGATTCTTCGAAAAAGAAAGAAAAGTCGACGCCCGATATAACAAGTAAGAAAACAAGCGGCCACTCTTCCCTAAAAAATAAATCAGTAGAACGAGATGATGTTACGCCTAAAGAGACAAAAAATATTGTTGAGCCGAGTCAAAGAGATGCAAAGAAAAATGAAAGCACAGAATCGAAACAGAAGGAAAAGTCCACGCCAGATATACCCAGTAAGGAAACAAGCGGCTGCTCTTCCCTAAAAAATAAATTAGTAGAACGGGATGACGTTACGCCTAAGGAGGAAAAAAATATTGTTGAGAAGAGTCAAAGAGATGCAAAGAAAAATGAAAGTAGCACAGAGTCGAAAAAGAAAGAAAAGTCGACGCCAGATATAACCAGTAAGGAAACAAGCGGCCGCTTTTCCCTAAAAAATAAATTAGTAGAACGTGATGATGTTACGCCTAAAGAGAAAAAAAATATTGTTGAGAAGAGTCAAAGAGATTCAAAGATAAATGAAAGTAGCACAGAATCGAAAAAGAAAGAAAAGTCGACGCCAGATATAACCAGTAAGAAAACAAGCGGCTGCTCTTCCCTAAAAAATAAATTAGTTGAACGGGATGACGTTACGCCTAAGGAGGAAAAAAATATTGTTGAGAAGAGTAAAAGAGATGCAAAGAAAAATGAAAGTAGCACAGAATCCAAAAAGAAAGAAAAGTCGACGCCAGATATAACCAGTAAGGAAACAAGCGGCCGCTTTTCCCTAAAAAATAAATTAGTAGAACGGGATGATGTTACGCCTAAAGAGAAAAAAATTATTGTTGAGAAGAGTCAAAGAGATTCAAAGAAAAATGGAAGTAGCACAGAATCGAAAAAGAAAGAAAAGTCGACGTCAGATATAACCAGTAAGAAAACAAGCAGCCGCTCTTCCCTAAAAAATGAATTAGTAGAACGGGATGATGTTACGCCTAAAGAGGAAAAAATTATTGTTGCGAAGAGTCAAAGAGATTCAAAGATCAATGAAAGTAGCACAGAATCGAAAAAGTCGACGCCGGATATAACCAGTAAGAAAACAAGCGGCTGCTCTTCCCTAAAAAATAAATTAGTTGAACGGGATGAGGTTACGCCTAAAGAGGGAACTAAAAAGAGGAAACGAACAAGTCCCAAGACAGAATCTGAGGATTTTATAGAGAGTTCTCAAGAAACTACTCTTAATAATTCAATAAAGGCAAAGTCGTTCATCAAGAGGTTAGACAGAGAAGGTAGAAGCTCCCTAGATCAAACGTTAGTAAAAAGCTCCGCCAAAGAAAATTCGCCAAGCCAAACCCAATCCTTGTTTTCACAGAATTTGGAAGCAGAACCAAAGAATATAGAAAATATTGCGAAAATTGAAGAAACGGAGAATCAAAACACAGAACAGTTGAATGAGAATGTGAAAAATAGTACGCAGAGTCAAGATACTCAGACACAGGAAACTGAGACTTATGAACCAGACGCTGCATATGATACTCAACCCAAGCTTGATGTTCCAAAGAAGACGGAGCTTACGAAGGAGCAGAAGGTCGTCTCTATGATGGATACTGCTTCGCTGACGTTTTCAAAATCAGATGAGCCCATCGAGGACCCAAAATTGAACCCGTATTGGGAGAGAGAAAATGTAATGGAAATAATATTGGGTAATCTCTCTCCAAGCAAAACCAAAAACAATGATTCGGAATTAACCGAGAAAGTCGTAGAAGGTGCCAAAGTAGTCGAAGAGAATGAGACCGCCTCGCCTGTTGGAAGTGGTATGTGTAAAATGTTCCTCTCGTATAAATTACTCAAATTTTTGCTTGTTTTAAGAATGCATGCAAAATTAAACCTCAAGAAAGTATTACCGTTTCGAAAAAACCTAATCCAAATAAAGTGTTACCAAAAATATAAAAACTTTTTTACAAATCAATCACTTATATTTTTTCAATTTTTTTTATTTGCTTATGTTCGAAAAGTGTTAGTTTTTTCTGGTGTTTGAGAAATTGCAGTGGCGTGCAGGTATTTATATAATGGGTCCTGTTTTGTCCGTTCTGGAAAAAAAAGTTGGTAATATCCTGCCCTCAAAAGTTCGGTTAGTGACGTCGAGACGAACAATTCCGAAACTTGAATCGAATCGAAGGACGTGGAGCATCTTTTATATTTAGCGTTCAGAAAAGACAATGGACCACTAGTAGCGGAGATTTTTATCTTGCGGACTTCTTCCAGTTTGACTTTTTCATTTACCGATATATATTCAAACTGAAATAATTTGCACGTTATTATTTGTTGATCAAAGAATATTTTCTTTTAATATTTGTATAGAATTAAATTACAAAATCAATCTTCCAAAAAAAAGCCTATAAAAAGTGACAAAATTCAAGATGTAACGTTTATAAAAATCGGTTGGTGAGAAAATTCCATTATATATTTTTTCAGTGGTATTATTTAAAAAAAAAGACAAATATTTTTTTCTTGTGAAATGAAAAAAATTATTTTTTTTCTTCAATTTTTATTAATTTATTAATTATTTGTTTTGCGTCATGTCATACAATTAAATGATAACATCGAATTTCCAATTAAAAAAAGTTGTTTAAAAGCTAATGAATACCAGCATGAAATAATTCTATATACACAAGATTGTCGCCGTCAAAAATAGTAAAAATATTGAAATGATTTCACAGAGTACCCAGTAACACATAGAACCAATATAAAACGATATTTTATTACTATTAACGTGTATGATACAGTAAATCAATTCTAATTACTACCCGTCTCACTCTAAAGAAAATTTGCTTCGCATAATCCACGTTGGCTGCGTTTCAAGTTGGAAAATTGGAAATTGTAAAATTTGTACGTCAAAGTTAAACACAGTGTGACTCAAAAAATTTGGTCTCCTAGATAGTGGGCGCACCTTTTATAAATCGCCTGCACATGACAACACTGATGTTCCGCCTCAGTTTTAGGGATAATTTTCTCCAGACACAGACCTATAAGCAGTCTTTTAAAAAAATGTTGGTGTTGATTTCAGGCCGCGACGCTCTGCCCTCATCGCCCGTAACAGGCGACACTCCAAACAAAACTTCCGAACTATTAAATAGCACCTCGGATATTTCACCGATAACGTCAAAATCTGGTTCCGATGACGAAAATGATACCGTCAAACCGTTCGTTCCGGTTGCATTGAAATTCGATGATCTTGTCGATACTTCCGGTTCGCAGTCGCCCGTAAAAGGAGACGACGTCTGCGCAGTATCGGAAATGGCGTCGGAAAAAAATATCCAGTGCGCGAAAGGTAGATCGGTGGACATTTTGGCGATCGACGACGACAAAGTGGTGAATAACATTTCCATCAGATCGTCAAAATTTTTCAGTATGGTTAAGAGTGGTTCACCCATGCCTCCTCACAGGTAAATAAAGTTTTATAAAGCCATTCGCCTCTTGTGGTTGATAATAGTAGTAATAATAGTGTTTATTAAGATTACATGGGTTTAAAGCCATTTGAACTTAACCCATATCTACACATTTCAAATTAAAAGTAAGCATGAAGTTATAACATTACACTTAATTTTTATATTTTTGTTATTTTGCATTTCACAAAACTTTTCATCCTTTTGGCTTCTTCAAAGCTTAATTGAACAGTTTCAGAGCTTAACTTTCTACTAACAAACTAACCAAGTAAGTTTGATTTGAGATCGTGATCTTGGTGTGAGTGTGGCTGAGTGTCTCAAATTTTAAACAGCATACGAAGTTGTCAATAAACATTTTTTTTTATGTTAAAACAATTTCATTTCATGAATTAAGTAAGCAAGTTAGAAATAAAGCGACGAGAAGTATTCTGAATTTTCTGTACAGAGGTCATAGTGTCTAAACAGGCTAGTACACCATCATGCACACACATGCGTGACATCATCTAAAAACTTTATCAATATATAGACCCATTTTTTTAACTCTACTAACGTCACAATTTGCAAAGGTACACTAAAGCTATTTACATTTATCTTAATTCAAAAAAAAAAAAGAAAGAATGTGTGCGAAACACTCTTCCTATATTTAGGTGCATAGAAGAAACCAGCCGTTCTAGTCATTACCACCCTAGCATTAAAGGATAATTTTCACAACAGTTTTGAACAGTCTGTTCTGTTATTAACAATACTGTGCAAAAAAAATGCCACTCTATATTATTCGCCTAACAGATAATTTCAAAATATGATAGAAGTCAAAGCTTGCTTCATACGATACACTTATTACATTGTGGTTATGAATAAAGTTAATGAGAAAATTAAACTTATTGTCCACATATAATTTTAACTCCATTTTATCGACGTCGTGTTTGATAAGGTTCATTAATAAAAGAAAATCGAGCACGCATATGTCACCCTCGGCCCTGAGGATCCGGAAGTTGATGTCGGGTAGGAAACCGAAAGCGGCCACTCTGTCTACAAGCAATATGGATAAGCAAGATCTTCTTACGTTTACTAGGGAGGTACCGAGTCCATCGGCAACACCAAGGTCCAGTATTTTGAAGAGGAAGCATTCGGACGTCGACGATGGGTTTTCGCCCTGTCCCAAGGTAAGGGGCGGATGTAGCTACTAGATATGTAGAGGGATCGGCTATTCCGAAAATATAGACCGGTGTTATCCTTGCGCTCTGTTCGGTCGGAATATGTCATCATCAACAACAAGAACTGCAAATGATAATAAATAGACATAAATTGAATTTGAATTGAATCAAAACAAACCAAACTCAAACAAAATGGTCTTTGTGGCGTTAAAATAAACAATTCACCAAATACAATTGAAAATAAATAATATTTCAATAAAACACCACTAAATACTCAGGACTTATAATCATAAACTAATTTAAATTATCTCATTGATATCTTTGGTGTATATAATGCAGTATAATTTTTTAAAAAACGACAACCTTTACAAAATAAAAGTTTAAAAGTTCTAAAATTAAATTAACTTCAAATCATTACGAATGTAATGCCAGAAGACATAGCAATATCCATATGACATCGATTAAGAGTAATTAAAAAAAATAAAGTGTAAGACCTAGAACTGAAGCCACACTTCTAAAAATGAAAAAAACAAACAAAATACGATTAAATATTTATTTAAAGAAAATTAAAAAGACTTTATAATATTAATATTTAATTTGTTTATGTAAATGGCATAAGAGTGGTGTGAATTTGAAGGGCATTTTATTTGACAAACTCCAAAACCAGCTTCTTCGCTGAACATTACGTCGCTATCTGCAATTTGCGTATTCTTGCAAAAAATGCAAATTTGATGTTGGATAAAAAGCAAAACAGCGATACAGCTGCTGAAGATTTTTAGTCAGCTGCCTTAACTGACAGGCCAAGACAAAGTCTATTTGAACGTCCATTATTATTATTATTTCGGATTATGTGTCAAATAAAATGCATTTATCATATATGGGTACCACTTTTTTACGATTTTATGCCCTCAATTCGCACAGTGGACGAATTCTTCCCTTTCTTAGTTAGCAGTTAATCAAAAAAAGTATATTTTAAAGCAAAACAATGGGCGTTTGTAGTCAGTAGATTTTGAACCTATGTTAAATGTTACATTTTACCATTGAATTAGAAACCAATAATAATCTCCCATTCTTAGATATTTTTATCAATAGAAAATCAGACCTAATCATTCTGTGTACAGATAACCTGCGCATACAGCCAAAAATTGGTAATCAACTTTCTTACTTACAGAGCTGTCAAATTGTATATATTGTGTATACTATTTTCAAAAACTTGAGGGGGTAGCATATTATAATACTCTTGACCACTTTTATATACCGGGCAAATCTGACTTTTGTTCTTGAATAAAGGGTGGGGTAGAAGCCGATCATTAGGGAGCTATCGCACTACAAATATGGCAGAAAAATAATATTTTTATTATATATCTTAAAAAGGATAATCGGTAGATTAAAATATTAAGTAAATGTTACTAATAGTAACACTTTCTGTATATATTTTTTAAATGAATAGAGAGGATTGAATTATACTACGCCTATCATTAATCTTTATCTTAACTAAATTTAAAGAAAAACTTATGCAATGACAAAAAAAGTATTTTTTTATTTTATGTCAAGTTTTATCTCATGGTAAGTCCGATACCGAGTTGTGATTTTTTTCCAGCGCAAACGGGTCAACTTTAGCGATCCATGCACGACTTCGAGCAAAGTGTTTTACAAAGAAGAGACAAACCTGGGCGAATTTTTCTTGTTGGAACCGCCTCTAGACATAGGCGTGTTCGATAGCGACGATACAAACGAAAACTTAACGGACACGGAAGTCTTGGAAACCGAGCAAAGTCTTCAAATAACCAACATGACGATTTTGAGGAATGATCGGCCGATATACCCCCAGTTGGAAGACTGCGACGAAGACGTGTCGGTTATCATGGGAAAAGTAACCAGTCCCATGTTTATAAATATGTTAACGAATAAACTGAAGAATAGTGGTATCAATACAATCGGGGACCTAGCTAGACAAAGCGAAGTGGAAGTGAACAGGTTCCCATTCAAAACGCCGATCGTTGCGAACGTTTTTAAAGCTTTGGACAATCACTTTGCCAAGTTTTGCAAAAGAGCCGGACAAGTTTGGAGACAAGAGTCGATCGAACGAAGCAGTGTCAACAATGGGGAAACGGTAGATGGGCAAGTATTACATGTTGAAGAGTTGAAGGACGTCTTGGAAAAAATGAAGACTAAGGTAAATCAAATGATTAAAGGAAGCGTCATTAATGGTTATTATTATACAGTTATGCAGAGTTACAAAATTTATTCTTAACTGCTCCTCCGCTGAGGTGATACCTATATTGGTGTCCGGTGTGTTTGGGTCTCAAGAACACTTGAGGAATAACGATAAATACGACTATAAAAGAAAATTATCTGTCTGTTAACACCTATGTGTCACTTGACCACATGAGTTTCTTGCCTTCACACATTTCCGGGATATTACCACACGTGTTGGGAGCAATCGGTTGTTTTCGGAGATTTTAGCAGCTTGAATTTTGACGTTTGTTAATTTTGACGGTCATATCAGTTAATGTATTCGTGTTGTTTTGCAAAAATGTACCCAAATACTAATGGTCATAGAAAAAGTATAGTGTGCAACACGTTCGATAAACTTTTTAAATCACTCATTTATTTATATTTATTATTAATTATTTATAATTTTCTTAAATAGTATACTCCTAAAGGAATTTCCTGGATGTCATAAGTTTTGCAGATGATACCGTAATGTATCTTACAGGAGATGACTGGAAAGAGCTTAAATTAATTGCTGAAGAAACAGAAAAGGCAGAGATCAGATCGACAGACAAAATCAAATACTTGGGGTGGGACCACCACGCCAGTAATGTTGTAAAAAACTTAAGGAACATCCTACATAAATTTAAATATTTAGCAAACTTCTTCAGCGAAAAACACTTAAGGACAATCTATTATGCCCTTGCACAGTCTCTAGACTAGTATGGCATTTTGACTTGGCGTGGCATTTTGGACGTTTGTCTTATGAAGACTCAAATTCTGCAGAACTACTTTTTAAAAATACTGCTTAAGAAGGATAGAATGTACCCATGTCCTTTGCTGTATGGCGAGGCAAACATTTTTGATGTTAGACTCTTATATTTTTTACAAATAATGTTATACACTTTTAAAAACAAACCTATTTTAAAATTTATAAATAAATAAAAATTATAAATTAATAAATATAAAACGTAAAACAAAAAACTTTTATTTTCCTATCGCAAAAATTATTCAACTATTTGCCGTCAGCCCAAAAGCAACTTCTAATTACTACTGATGGGATATACATCTTTAAAATAAAAATAAAATGCCGTTACCGCACTTGTCGCATAATATACTATAAGTCTCTCCGCTGCGCTACGCTCGTGCCAAATAAATAAATAAAAATAATAAATGTTCGTTTTTTACCACTTTTTTCTTTTTATTGCCTTTTACAACGTTTTTATTTCCGGGACACCCCTTTTTAAACACTGATAAAAAAAATAAAAAAAAATACTGATATTTTTCAAAAATTGTTTTTTTCATTGCACACTTTTTCTTATTTATTATTCAATGTTTGTTTTATTGTATAGATGTACTTTAATAGTAGTTTAGTAGTAATTTTAATTAAAAAAATGTAGCCATGTGTCTCTCTGATCGGAGGTGTTTGAAATTTTTATTTCAGAACATACCACAACAGGATATCTTCAAGGTCATGCTTTCATCGATGGGAGAGCAAAATCTCTTTTCTCTAATAAAATCCCATTGCAGTCCACGATTGGGCGACATTTTCGACAAAAAGATATTTCCCGATATCGTTAAAAATATAAGCGAAACCGATGGATTTGAAACCGTATTGGAAACGTCGACTAGACCTGCTGAATATCATGAACAATGCAACTCAGAGCTCGAAAGTTGCGTCGACAAAGAATCGTTAAGGGATTTGATTCAACGGAGTAGCATTGAGGATATTCAGGCCGCGCTTTCGGATTCCGTGAGCAACGGAGTTTTCCGAAAACAAGATTTGCTGGACACTTGTTTCCTACCATTTGTAACGTCAATCGGTATGAAACAATTCTTCGATCGACTCAGTACCGAGGAGTTGCAGGAAATCGTCCTAAACAGTCTGAACGGCGATAGCCTTGACGTTTTCTTCGATCGGCTGTTTGAAAACTTTCCGAAACATAAGCCCGGGGTTTTGAAAAAGTTTAGTACGAGAGAGTTGGCCGACGCTGTAGACGAGCAGTGCGAAGCGGAAGACTTGGCGGAGCTGTTTAGGCTTTTGGGCGGTAAGCTAGCCCGAAAGTGGCCCGCCAAAGCGTTGCTGGATCTGTCCATAGAGTTTCAGAGGCAAATACCCTTTAATGATTAGTCTATTTTTGTAAATATTTACCATTTTGATGGAAGACTGTTACTATACATTGTTTTTTATATAATTACACTTAATTACACGGAATTAATGTTCTTCCCTTTCACTCCCGCTCTTTTCAATGCATACTTATAAACGTAACAATACTAGAACTGTTTCGATCTGCAGCACATCTTGAACTACGAGAAAGAATCATATTTAAAACTTCATTATATATAAGGATACTCAAAAATGGTATTTCCCAAAGTGGGACCCACTCCCTACAAGGGAGCAATTTGATAATTAATGGGGTCAATTTCAGAATATACTCGATACGACTGACATCGGTGACAACAAGAAAAGTAAAATCACAACAAAATTGCTATAAATAATTATTGGGTATAATTTTGTTGGACGTTACCAACATATCAACTGGGTGATTAGGGGAATTCACCGTAGAGTGTGTCGTTTGCCGTGGGGAACCCCGGATGTTTTAAAACTCGCTAAACATCGCTGTTGTCAGCACCTAATCGGTTCAACTCAACTTCTGTAGCAGCGTTACCAACCCTACTGTTTTAACAGTAGATTTGCTGTTTTCACATTGATGACCATGTTTTCTGTTTCATTCCTATTTTCTACTGTTTTTCGAGTTCAACGCCACCTAATACACTACTATGCAAACATTTTTTGATAACCACTACGCAATAAAACGCAATGACAAACCATTACGTAATAAAACGCATTGATACTAGATGGCAGTATCTTCTTTATATTTTTATGCACGGGGAAATCCCTATTTACGAATAACAGCTACACGCCTATTGTATTGCGTAGCGTAGGTATTGTTTTATAGTGACACGTCACAACACCTTGAACAGTTTCTTTGAATTGCGGCGTCTATTTTGAAAAAATAATAATTACAAAGTTTTTGATAAAATCGCCTGGAAAAAGTCCTCCTAAGAAGAAAAATGTGAAATATGAACAGAAATTCGTAAATTCGTGGTTAAAAGATGATAGGTTCAAGAAAAGCACTAAAGGGGAGAATTATTTCTTTTGTTCTGCGTGTAATTGTGTCAGAAAATGTGGTAAACACGAACTGTTACAAAAACAACAAAAACTGACATCAATGTTTACCTCAGCTTCCAATTCACAAGATACGAAAATTGCAGCTAAAGCGGGCGAAGTAAAAATGGTCTGCTTTATTGCTGAGCATAATCTGTCTTTTAACATAGCATCTCATTTGAATAAATTGATTTGCGCTGTATGTCCAGATTCGAAAATTGCTGAACAATTATCTATAAGCCGCACAAAAGCTAGAGCTATTATTGTTAATGTAACTGGGCAGACAGCTGAAGAAAATATAATAGAGATGTTACAGAACAATTGCTTTTCATTACTTGTTGACGAAAGCACAGATAAATCTACGATAAAACATTTAGCGCTTGTCGCTAGAATAGTAAAATTAGATTTCAGCGTTGAAGATAGATTTCTTACTTTAATACCAATCGCAGATGGTACAGCAACAGCGTTGTATGGCAAAATAGTAGAATATTTTGTTGAAAAAAATATTCCTTACAAATCAAACATGATAGGCTTTGCTTCTGATGGCGCTAACGTTATGTTTGGAGATAAACATTCATTGGTCACTTTGTTTAAAAATGACATACCTCACCTTTTTACTATGAAGTGGATTTGTTATTCTCCGAAATTATATTTATTATACGACAAAATACTGACCGCATACACAACGATCTTGGAATGCTTTGTACAAGCTGAATATTTGAATCTCACTGAACAAGAAAAAAATGAAGCACAAAATATTTTAAACGCAAAAGAAACTAAAATATTAAACCTTGACTTCTCGAGTGAGCAGAAACATTTACCGATGCAACATATATACGTTAGTGGAATGGTGCCAAATTTGATCAGAAGAAAGAGAGAAATAGGAGAACTAGAGGAAGAACAGCTGAAAAATTTCTACTTAAAGTGTAAGGAGTTTTATATCGAGGCTGCAAAACAGATATTAAAAAGGTTTCCTTTTGACGACAAAGACCGTCAAGCATTAAAATGTCTGAAGATGCTAAATCCTGAAGCAATTCTAGATCCTGAAATTTACATTATTTCTTCCCAAAGATTTGTCCAAATAATATAACGGAACTGGATAGAGAATGGCGAAGGTTAAGAAATATCGATTTTTCTTTCGATCAAAACAAAACTCCCGATATTATCGACTTTTGGAAACATGTACAAGAATTAAGAAATGGAGACGAATCTCAAATCGAATCACCACATAGCAGCGCCACCGTGGAAAGGTTATTTTCTGCTATAAATATTATGAAAACCAAATTACGCAATAGAAAAGCACATGAAGAAATTCAACAAAAACATGTATGATTTTAAAAATAAAAATGAGTATGAAAATATTGAAGATGAGGCAATTGAAAATGAAACTGAAAAATAATTTTACTTTGATTTTTGTTTTATGTTGCTGTGATTATAAAATATATAAATTTATGTGAGTTCTAGTAACTAAGAAAGTTGTTTATTATTTAATTATAAGAGCAAAATTATGAAATCTGCCTTTTTTTCTTTACGTACCGCTTTCTACTGTTTTTTTTTGGGCGAGTTGTTTTTTAGTTTTTTGAGGTTGGCAACACTGTTCTGTAGTGTTTAATTATTCAGTTGGTGTCAATTTGAATGAGTGTCGAGTAGCTGATCGTTGATTTAATAAATTTGTTTGTATATATTATATACACATAATTGGTAAGTATTTGACTTTATATATATTTATATCAAGTGGAAATGCTAATGTTTTATATACATTTAAATAAATATGTTTTTTATTATTAATTCTTATTCATTCAAATTAATTAAGGCTAGTTATCAAATTTCTTTATTAATTGCAAAAACTTGAAAAAATCATACTATAGCAGAGAATTTGATAAAATCGTCAATACCAGCATTTCTTAAAACGTTTATGGAAAAAGGTGACAAAGATGTAAAAGCCACTCAGTAACAATACTATTAGCAGAAAAATAGACTAAATGAGCTAAGATATTGAAAGACAACTTGTTGAAAAGCTGAAAACAAAATTCTCAGTGCAAATGGATCAATGAACTTTGAGAGACACTGGGGCAGTATTGATCACTGATGTAAGATATATTGATGAAGGACATTTTGCTGAAGAAAATTAGAAAGCACCACTACTTCGAAAGATATATAATGAGTTATGCTTAATTCATTTCCCAACATGATGCAGCCAATATTAGTGGATTTTTCTGATATATGAAATATACAGTATCAAGATCATATCATAATTGCAAAATCATGTGTAAAAATTTTGTTTAATATAAAAGGAGCGATGGCAGGGCTGTGTGAAGAAATTTTAACTAAATGCAAGACAACTTTTACTACCGTTTCCATCTTCATATTTGGCCGAGTGTGGATTTAGTGCTGCAAATGATTTACCGATAAAAAAAAAGAAATCGTCTGGGTATAACACAACGTGGAGACTTGAGATTAAAGCTAACTAAATTGGAACCTAATATAAAATCTCTGTGCAGCAAGGATCGCACTAAATTAATATAGAAAATCTGTATTAAAATAATTTTTAATTTGAATCTCACTTTTTTATAGTTACTGTTACCTATCATTTATGTTTCCTCCGAACAAACAAAAAACTATAAACCATAATTCATTGATTGCTTCAAGGTATATTTTTACATTTGACCAAAATAGGTACATAAAAACACAAAGATGTATATGTACATAATACTTATAGAAACCACACATTCCCATATCTACAATAATTATCTTTGAGCAACGTTTCACTTTCCACGCAGTATGTTAGGAAATTCTCCTTAAAAAATTGCAAGCTAGTTTATCCGAATCTATATAAAAAAATAGCTTAACCATAAAAATGGAATCTGATATCCAGAATCTGCTTAATTATTGGAGCTTACAAAATTTTCTCTGAATTTTCTAAAAACATGTTGCTTGCAGCTTTTTAAATCTTTCTGGAGGAATTCCTGGCCGCACGGTTATGTATTTCAAGTTATTAATATCAAACGGTGATCTTTGCAATACATGTGTTGGCAATTGGTGCCAACTAATCCCGACAGGACTACTGGTAACTTTCGCATAACATACACTTGCTACGCTTTATATTTATAGGATAATACATTATTATCACCTTGGTTTTTGCGTAACACTCAACACTACACCACATTTACTCAAGTCAAACTTGGCAACCTTTAAATAAATTACAAAAATACAAACAACGGTCCACCCATCCTAGAACTCGATATATCCGAAATGGTAGTAGAAATACTTCGCAAGATCTTGCTGTGTCGAACACTTTAAATATCCTTTGCTTAATTATTATCGAGCAGTGCCATTATTGAACAAGGAATCAGGATGGCCGCGGATCACAAAATTTTAGCCCGAAGGCGTGCGTTGTCACTAAACAGCAAGTAATAATCACTGTCGAAAGAACACTGCCCTATAATCATCCGTTCCGAAGATGTCGATCTGCGGCGGTCGATGCTGGTACAAATTAATATCCGAATTCCTCCTCCATACGTCTCTGGACCTTATCTGAGGAGTAAACTCCTCGACTTGGTTCGCCTTTTTGTTCGACTGAGTCGATGACTGGCTCGAATTTTCCTCCGACGTACCCAATCCCAAATCCTTTTCCATATCCCCGAAACTCTTGAACGGTTTTTTGCTGTACCGTTCGATGGGCGTAAGGTTGGTATTCCTTAGGGTGTTGGTAAGATTACTGGCGTTCAGTGTGAACTGGGGGTGCGGTATGCAATAGGGATGCGGAAGAGATTTTTCTATGTTGGAGAGTTTGAATTCGTCATCGTCTTCGTATTTGGCGCAAGCTCCTGGACCGAATAGGGACAGCAGAACCGGCAACAGGAATAGTCCGTGCATCGCTCCCAGGAAAACCACCAGGAAGATCATTTTAAAGAAGACCGCGAAAATGTAGTTTTGGGCGAGGACCAGGGCAAGCATTCCGAGGATGGTGCTCACTGAACCTGTAACAAATTATACATGACACAACATGATAAGACGATGAAAATACTAAACAGTATGTCCTTAAGTATGATATACAAGCTGTCTAGCACCACGAAATCATGAAAGGGGAGGTGCACAAATTATTTTTAGATCTAATTTTTGTTGACTAAACATTGTTGACTATTGAATATCTCAAAATTAAAATTTGGCATACTCAACCGCACCTAACCTTAGGGTTCCGTGAAAATTTTTCAATCTGAACAAAAAGTCCTGGTCTAGGAACAAGTGTTGGTTTTACTTAATAAATAGAGAAAACACACTTGGAAATTGTTTTAAATGGAGATTCTTGAGTAAAATAGATATTAGTTCTTGCTTCGTGTGGGTGTTTATACTAGGTTATACCAAGGATGACGAACCAATGGCACGCGTGCCACAAGTGGCACGTTTGAAAATGTTGATGGCACGCAAAGAAGCAAGAATTCTCCTAAAATACTATGTTCAAATATAAGCAATAATAACCAAAACAAAAATTACTACAGTTTAATAATTTACATTTGCAAGGTATAGATGCAACGGAATTAGGTGGTTTCTGCACAATACTAATTTTATAAGGAAGATTTAGAGAAGCACAAAAAAGCCCAGTTAATTTGCGGGTTTTCACAAATAAATCTTGTTAAAGATTTATTTGTGAAAACTAAGCTTGTATGAGCCCTAACAGAGATATTGCGATATATTACGATTCCTCCGTTTTGACGATATTTCTACAAGAACTCAAGATAAACTTACCCCTATTGGTGATGTAGTTGATACTTTTACAAACAAAAACTGCAAAGATTCATTTTGGCCATCACCATATGGAGGAATAGATGAGCAATTATTTAATTATACTTACGTATAATTTCACCACGCTAACATTTCATATGAAATGTTATTGTGGCATTTTTGTGACTTTGTGGCACGGACATCAAAAAAAGTTCGCCATTCCTAATCTGTACCCTAGAGCTATTAGATAATATACTGATTTGGGTACGGTAAAAATTGATGCCACACTGGGTTATGGGTCATTTTCTTGTTAAACAACGATTTCTAGAGAGAGGTCTAAGCATATTTTCGGAAAATACTGCCGTAAAAATGACGTATCTAAACTTATTGACGATCTGTCAGCCGCCATGTTGGTTGTTACATGCCGTATACTTATAGGGGCGGACCTTTTTGGGATTTATTAGTTTGAGGTTAAAAAAATGAAGATTTAGGGCTGACTTTCTCGAATCTGGAACAGGGCATGTAGCATGCGAGATATGTCTGTGTGACATAGAAACAGAGCAGTGATTGGTCAAGATGCCATAAACAACAACCACTCGCATGAGACATGCTCTGTTCAACCTTCGAGAAATTGCACCCAGGTAAAAAATTATAAAAAAATAAAAGGAGTGTAGAGATTTATGAAGACTCATAAAATGTATTATTTAAGAATGGTCCTTTAACACCTGTATCTTTTATACATTTTGCAATTTCAGAGTTGCTGTTACATTTATGATTTTTTTTTTATTTATTGGTATTTCTGAAAAATATCAGTCACATGGGACTATAGGACATTATGTTTTTCACTAATTTTATTTTAATAAACTGCACTAAGATTTTTTTGTGTTGAATCGTTTTCTTCTGAGGAACAAAAACTTCAACAGGGAGAAATAAAAGAAAATAAAGAAAAGAAAAGTATTTGCATGCCTCTGCATCAAAACTTTTATCAAATAGAAAATGCGAAAAAATATTTGTTCAGAAATTGACCTAAAGAAGTAATAATCACTTCAGACGGACTTTATTTGACTACAGATCAGTTTTTCTGTAGGTAGTTAGGTACAATTAGCATGGTTTTAATAACCACGTGAAAGAAGGGAGTCTTGAACGTGTACAAAAAAAAATTAAGTTGTTATTACTAATCAGCTTTATACAGAGTGTAAGAAAAAATTTGTAGAAACAAAATTTTGATCTCTAAACAAATATTCACTCTATTCAGTTGAAATTTGGCAATGTCATTTGAGGTATTAAGAAGCTAATTTAGCCCTAATAGTTTAAAATTATTATTTTAAGTCCAGTGGCGTCCAAAATATAAAGCACCCTGCCACAAATGTTGAAAATATCCACCACTCCAGTTCTGTACTCTTTCTTACTCTATGAATCATTTAACTCGGCGAACTCTAGTTAAGATTCGATCGAGGGCTAAGTGCGTTTAGAATGTGGTTTTGTATTTGTTTCAAACTTACCTTGGAAAATAGGTAACCCTAGCGAATAAAGGGCCTCTTTCATCTTGTCTTTGGATGTTTTTGCCGGACACGACATGTACGCGTAACATATGTGGGCGGTAAAGTCCACGCTGAATCCGATACACATAATCAGATTGATCATCGATATCGAGTCGAGATTGACGTGCCACAACGCCATGTAACCGAAGACGCCCATCTCTATCGAAATGATGCTAAACGCGACCCAGAACGCGCAGAGGATGTTTGGAATGAAAATGAACGAGATCAGCATCATGACGGCTGCGCCGACCGCCATGTTTTGTATAGACAAAGGACGAACCAACTCGAACTGCAAAATAAATAAAAATCATTTGTGAAACGTCGACGAACAATGTTACAATTTTGTATACTAGATAATCCAGACAATAAAAAACCAGTTTAACCTTAAAAACAGGAAAATACTAAAGACGAAAACCAAATATTCATTAATTAATTCTGGAAAAATTCTGGGTTATATAAGCGCTTTGTACCTGGTCAAAAAATACGAAGTAGGGATGAAAAACCGTGACGTTTAGCGGTGAATCGTGGGAAATTTTTCTCAAAGCTCTGACCATTTCCTTTTCGTGTTCGGTTCCCGAGATGTTGACGACTTGTATCAGGAACCTCATTGCGATTATTTCATTTTCGTTTTTCTCGTCGAACTTTACGTCCAAAGAAAACGCGCTGCTTTCCGCTAACCACAGCTATAAAAAGGAAATTATACAAAATACAGCCTACCAAGAGCGAAACATTCTGGAAAGTGAATGTGCGAGGATTCCGCAACCATTTCAATACACCTTCTTAAGAAAATAAACACAGGAAAAGTATGTGTTACTTTTTAGATTGGTTTAGTTTTTATTGTACTAGTGAAGGCTTAAAAAAGAATAGTCACACTTTTATTCTACTCACTTCTTTAAGGACCGAACTAAAATCTTTCGGAGTTTTTATCGAAATGTTTAGATAATCTTCGTTCCTTTCGACGTATTGCAAAAAGCTTCTCAGCCACGATTCCGTATACAGGGTGTTTGAAACGTACGACGTATTTTCGAAAGTTTGAGTCAACTTTTCCACTTCCCGTTGTACTTTTGGGTCGGAATAGTCATATTTCCCGGAAACTATAACCTGAACTCTGCAATAAGATATAAAATTTTAGAAAAATCGATATAAAAGTGGTGGAGAGGTGAAATTATTATAGTAGTATACAAAAATTCTCTCGCCCTAGGTTAATTGTTAGTTAACATTTAATAAACCCAACTAACGAACTAACACTTAGTGTTGTAGTATTAATTTTAACTTATTTTTGAATAGCGCCATCTAACGTGCGCACGTTTAAACCTTGATTGCATCAGTTTTGTTAGTTTTGCGGTGTAACGTGAGAGGGAAGGCGGCTAGGGATTTTCGTAATATGAGGTTAGGAGGTTGGTTTTTATGTTGGTGTTTTTCTTTGGCCGTGCTCCGTGCGGGTTTTGGAAAAAAGAAGTAGGAGGAATCCGTAATCATTAGTTAAACAATTAATCACAACGCGAAATTTTTTTAAGCAATAATAGACAGTTTTCGAATATAGTTGTGATAAGTGGTTTCGCGGATGTTGATATCCAAGTACGTACAATAAGTTTTGCTATTGTTATTACATGAATTATTAGCACCCACATAGTGGATAGTAGTTGGTATATTTTGTTTAATTTAAAGAATACTTGCCTGTAAGGAAACTCTCTATAATAATCATCCTCCCTGTCGAAAAATTCGATAGCGTAAGAATCGTTCTTGGCTACTTTTCTCCTCTCGAGGCCTTCCTCGATTTGCGTTATCCCGTAACCGGCTCCTAACAAATAAACGCCGAACGCTATGATTACCAACACCTTTACGCAGCCGAAGTTCAGGAAAGCCGCGAAATAGTCCCTGAAGAACACCATCAGGCCGTGTTCGCGGTTATCTTTCGGATTGTCTATATCTTCGGGGTCGACCCCGCCGCTGCAGAACACCTTGTATAACCAGCACCTGTCTTCTGGAAAGGCAAGGAATGTTGAGAAGCACTTATTTAATTGTAAATTGGGTCAGCTGCCCATATGGCGCAAGTGGTACATAAGTACTGTATCCCCTATATCCACAGGGAAATCTTCATAATTAAAATGGCACGTGCCCAGGTACCGTAGAATATACAACCAACGAATAGGGATTTAGTTTCGCCGCTCATCCACAAATGACAGCACAACAAACAAATTGGTTTTAAAGCTAGCTCCGCCACTCGTCTACGGATGGCAGCACAGCTCAAAGAATTTTAGATTTACAGAATTAAGCTCCCAGTTCTGCTTAAAATAATGCCCTTCTTAACTTCGTAACGTACCTTTATTACGAAGCCTTTTCCAAAAATTAGGAAAATAAAAAATACGCTTAGATATTTTAAAAGAAATATAGTAGATTAAATTTTTAAAAATTGTACAAAAAGGAAATAATTCAGTCTTAAATTTTCAAACGCAATTGCAAAATAATAAGTAAAAGCAACAATACAATACAACACACTTTTGAATTAAAAGCTAAAAAAATATGCACGACGATAAATGTTTCTTTCGCTTAGTAACGACAATAGGAATCGCAAGAAGTGGTAAATGTTTATTACATTTGTGCATCAGAAAAAGAAGAAAAGGACGCGTCGCGGCGTTCAAGTGGGACAAGTAGTTTACTGTGCCAATAACTCGAGTGACGTAATCAGGAAATTGTGATCGAGAATCCCCCACTAAGTCTAACCAACCACTTACGAGCGATACGATGGCTCGATGAGAGTCGCTACCTCTTACGTTTGCTTTCACCGAGAAGAATTATTGAAACTGTGTCAAAAAAATTAATTGCCAGTGAAACACGTTTCAAAAATAAAAAATGGCCAACTTAAAAAGTAAAAAACTGCCAGAGTTGTGGTGTGTTCTTCTCATCACCTCAATAATAAATTTGAATTACTAAAACATTGATTACTATAGTATACGCACAGCGGAATTGTTCTTTTTGGTTACTCAAGCGATTAAAGTTGCGCCAAGAATAATATTAAATAACAATAAATAAACGTTTAGTATACAGGGTGAAGCAACCAGGATTTATGTTGACTGTTCCCATACCTTCTTTAAAAATTTACTGTATATTTCTTTACAATATTTTTGAAAAATACGCTATCTTTGTGATAGTTTTATTAAATTATTCAATTTTGCGTGTTTTTCAATTTGCAAATTTAAATGAATATTTTAAAATTTGAATTAAATTGTAAATACGCACGTAAATTACAACAGGTTAAGTTAAAATTACAATTTATTTAGTGAAAAATTTAAAATATAAAAAAATCATTCCGCCAGACTTTTTTGTTTGTGAATTTTTTTGTAACGTTTTTCGATTACCAACTGTCGAAGACACTAACGTGAAATTTTGATTTAATATTATTTTTTTAAATTTGCAATTTCAAATCGTTGGTACGCCCTGTATATTTATGGTTCTTGACTTTAGACTTGGTTTTTGACGATGAAATGAGAAAGTATGTACTATGGATTATTACCGAATGTACTTGGGATAATCGTGTTGATAAATTCTGTTTCCGAATTGGTAGTTAAATTTAACGTTGAACGTAGAGAAAGGCGTTACGAAGACAGTGTAAACTGGTGCAGTTAACGACCGACACACGACATGATCAAGTTGCAACCTCGATCGCCTTCCAAGGACATGAGGAATTTCTTCCGGCACGCTTATTTTGTTTATTTTTAAACGAGGAATCGTAACTGTTACGCAATTTCTCTTATCCGTGAGCGGGCGTCTCACTTTCGATCCGCTAAACCTTGTTAATGTTGGTTTAAGTTTCAACTACTTATGTAACCATGTATAAGAGTTCTGTTGTAGTTTTTTAAAAATGTAATGTTAATTTAAAAAAAAAAACGTAGGAAATCAGAATATGCTTTAAAATTGTTATTCACAAACTTTATTATTTAAGACACCGCAAAACAACTTATCAACAAAAATACATTGGTGTTCTCCGATGTCGGAAATTTCGTTATTATTAAACATACCAAGATGAAGTTTGCACATTACTGCCCTACTTCTTGAGATTCGAAAAATGGTATCAGATTTTGAAGAGCACCTGCATTTTCTGATCCACGAGGAAATATTGAATATACAGGGTATTTCAAATGTTGTACAAATGTTGTGTTAAAAGGAAACCATTAGGGAGATCTCGCAAAAATATGACGGAACGATCATGTTTTTAATTTTGTTTTAAAAACGAAAATATAGATAGATACATTGAATATTACGGAAGTATTGCACAGAAACACCCGTTATGCATTTTTTTTAAAAGGTGTACGGGATTAAAATAGACTACTCCATAATCAAAATAATAAATATATAAATAAATAAAAAGATATGCACTTTCAAAATAAAAATATAAAAATATTTATCAATTAACTTCTAAACAATTACATTTTATAAATAATTTGTTAATAAATATTTCTGAAACTAATTGATAAATACCTTCTTTAAAAACATTTTATTTAAATAATATTACTCAAATAATAAAACAACAAATAAGCAATATAAAACACGCACTTTTCTACGCATCATACGCTGGAGCAACGCTGGATTATTTCCCATGACATTGCTATGCATTGTATCCTATATTGGACTAGTGCGAACTATTTTTTTAAAATGTGCCCAGATACAATAATCCATATGATTTAAATCTGGGGATGATAAAGCCCACCTCTTCCTATCATATGTACGATTTAAAAAAGTTCGCACATTTAAGCTGAAATATGCTGGAGCACCATGGGCCATGTAATACATCACTCTTCTAGCTAACAGGGGTACATTTTCTAAAGAATGTGATTTTTCTTGTAGCAAAATGAGAACAGGACTGACCAGTTAATATTAAAGGAAAAAATGCGTCCCAATTAAATGATAATCGATGGTTCCTAACCAAACGTTAAAACGGGTTATCGATATTCATCAATTAATATATTTAATTCTATTGCAATTTTCGTGGTAGCAGAGCAACTTCTAATCCCACCTACTTCCAGAATCATGTAACCTTTAAACATGTAACAAGTGTAAAAAGACGATAAGCTGCCATGGAATTTCCGTTTGCACGCTCGCACATAAAATGCATATCTGTCTTTTCTGCATTAGCGTAATTTACTATTATTACGCAATAAAATGATTAATTATTAAATTAGTCGTATTTTGTATTCACAGCAACTGAGCAATGTCAAATAAAGCAATAATAAGAAACGCCTTAAGAAATGACAGCAACCCACTACGATCTGTCAACGGCCATGTTGGTTGTTGAATGCCGCGAGGTCATTGGTTGAAAGTGAAATTTTAAATCTCGCGCAGGCGCATCTCGGTTGTTTTCAAAATCTTTTTTACAGTTGCTTCCTAAGTTTTATTTTTATGTTTAGAAACGGTAAATGTTATGAAAAGATTGCAGGTTTTTATTTCCTTGCATAAGATTTTCTTTAAATTTAGTTTAAAAACATCTGTGTGTATGGTAGTGTGATTGTAATATTTTATCGTTCTATTTTCGTTTTTAAGATAACAAATAAAACCTTTATTTTTCCGCCTTATTTGTAGCGCGTCATCTTCCTAATGACCAACGTTTATATAACAAACTACCCTTTATTTTAAACAAAGAATCCACTCCCTTAAGTTTTTCGCATTTTTCTGGCAACACCTTGTATCTTCCTTAATACAAAATATATTTTGCGTTTGTAATAACTTTTAGTTTTAGTTGCGATTTAAATTTGATTTTTTTCGATGTTTTAACTTCCAGTAACATTGAAAATTGAATACCCGTTATATATATGAAACAATAAACAAAAAGGACAGCACTTACGGGATTTCGACAATGGCTGCACTTTGAAGCAAAACACGGAATGAAGATTCTTCTGCTCGCAGTATCCCGATATCGCGACGCATGCCGCAAAAAAACTGAGGTGCCACACGAACAGGAAGCAAGTGGCGGCGCCTGTATCAAACGCGGGAATTTCAAATCGAAGTCTTGACACAGTTAAAAACTGTATATATTCAAACTTACACGAGTAAATGCAAAAAATGGTGACCGAAGGGAACGGACTAAAAATGCCGATCCAAAAACTGAGGAAGTCGGTGACGGACGTGATCGTTATCGAAACAGCAGCTTCGCTCAACATTTGGGCCATCCGATCGGGCACGGGGTCCTTAATGGAAGTCCTTCTCCATGCTGCTAACATTACGAACGTGTCGTCGATCCCGATGCCTGGAAACGTTGGGAAAATTGACATTCAAAACTAATCATGACACGGGGTCTCTAAACATAAGGTAAGGAACAGTTTTTTGTTACGCCTTGTCTAGAGGTTTTAGTTGTAAGATTCGTCCTGAAACGTCAACACTGCATTATTAATCAAAATCTTATTTATTTTTCTATAAACCCTGTGGATATAATAACAAGTTTCAGAATTTTTGCAGTTAAGCTTACATTCATATTGGATAATGCCTATAAGTTTAGGTAGCAAATATTTCTATTTTTAAAATTCCTTAATAATGAAATCCTTTCAAGAACAACAATGCTTTTAAATATTGAAATACCAGAATTGCAAAAAATAGCGCATGCTTTTCTTTTAATACAGATTAACGTTTCACTTGCCTTAGAGTTGCTAAGACGCAAAACTCATAAATAATTAGTAACTATCACGTACCTATCAAATAATAAAATAGTTGCGCCAGTTTTATATTTAACTTTAATTATCTCGAATAATAATGATTTCATCGTTAGAAAGAAAGAGTTTTTTCTTTACAAAAACAATGTGAGAGGTCAGTCAGTTACTTCCCGCTGTCGTACGCCTCTGGTAGTAGCCAGAAACATTCGTTTAGCACTATCTAATCGAGTGTACGAGGGTCACTTGAAACTGTTCCTCAATATTGTTTTCTACATGGTCTCCTTGTAACTCCATATACTCCCTCCAACGATGCTCGCATCTATCTAACCCGTCCAAATAGAATCCAGCGTTTTTCTCCGCAAAATAATTGTTCACGAATGTTGCCTCCTCATTTGACGACAATCTTTGTCCTCCGAGCGCAGTTTTCACAACAAAACAAACAAAAAAAAAGTCGCTTGGGGCTAGATCTGGTAAATAAGGCTTATGGCCAAGCAGTTTAAACCGTAATTCGTGGATTTTCGCCATGGCAGCCGCTGTCCTCAGCTTGTCAATGATGCATAGATGCTCCTGCAATGGTTTTCCCTTTTTGAAGGAAATCGATTAACAGTTTTTGCTTTTTTCGGAGTTGGTTCACCTTTTGCAGTCCGCTGTTTTCACTATATTTTTGATTCGGGCGTATAATGGTGTATCCAAGTTTGGTACATCATCTCCTAAGCTCATACGGCCACGTTTAAATTCAGCTGCCCAAAATTTTGCTGGGGTAAATGACATATACAGAGTCCAAGGCAACTTTAATTTACGTAAGTGTATTCCGTTTAAAAAAAAATATATTTTGTAACAGCTGTATACAGAATTTTTTCCACTCAACTCACTCAAACGGACTTTCAACTAAAAACCACTAGTCGAAAATGGTAAGTAACCATCAAAAGGTGCACAACTGCGACCACTAGCTTTTAGTCACTAGGGCCGCCATCTTCCGGGTGAAGTCGTAAACTTTTCAAGTGACGGTCGTATTTTCCGCCAAGTATACTATCAATCAGTAAGGGATCACTAGCCATTTAAATGATTCAAAAACATTACTTAACACCTAATGAATCATCATGTTTATGAATTGAACTAAGGTGGTTTTTACTTGATGACAATAAATAAATAAGAACTAAAAGTTCAGATTTTCAGGAAATTATATATATTCACATGATAATTATTTCGAAGATTGTCTTTATCAAATGCAATATTTACAAACTACCTGCCTACCTACCGAAAAATGACAATAAAACTTTAATTAATGTTGTTATGAGAATTTAAGTTTAATAATGGAGAGGTATTTAAATCTAATTGATCGTTAAGCAATACATTTGAATGTCTCATTTTGTTCATCTCCATGGCTTCTAATAAATTTAATTTTCTACTTTTTGTGGTTGTATGTAAAATATCAAAATTGTCGTCAAAAATGTGTTTTTCTGTGTTAAGTGTGTAGCATAGAATCTAGACTATTGTTTTTATGCTCTTTTATGTTCGTTAATGCGTTTCTTGAAGGATCTACTGTTTGTCCAATATAAATTTTAGGACAAGATCGGCATTTCAACCTGTTTTTTGAGATTTTGGGCGTTTCGTTTTATTGTTTTTTAAAAATATCGTGTTGTTAGTTCTGCAAACTATTTTTAAACCACATTTTGACAAATGTTTTGAAACTTTTTCACTGGGTTTTCCTATGTATGTAATTGTCTTAAATTGTTCGTGTTCTGTATTAGATTTCGGAAAAATAGAGTTTACTGTCGTCTGGATTTGTTTTTTATTTATAATTTTATCGATAGTGGACGGATTGTAGCCGTTGTTCACTGCAATTTGTATAATGATATTCAGTTCTTTATTGTAATTTTCTATTGAGAGTGGCGTATTAATAAGTCTGTGTATAAAAGAGTGAAATGCAGGCATTTTGTGTGTATAAGGGTGATTTGAGCTGTTATGTATGACTGTGTCCGTCTGTGAAGGTTTATGGTAAATGGAAAACTCCAATTTGTTTTAATAGAGTCATCCCGTTCAATCTCGATAGTGAATTTTATACGATTATGTAATTGTCTGTCCGTTCCAACAAAGCAAGCAAAGACATCTTCCATGTATCTGTACCACCATAGAAAACTTACTTTACTTTTACTTAAAAAAAATATCGCTTTAAGATTTTTATTAAATAGAGGACGTGTTCCGTAAAAAAAACTGGACTTCGGTTTCAATATCCAGTGGCCTAGACTGATTTATAAAATCATTTCTTATTATGCAATGAAAAATAGCAAATATTTGTTCGTAATGTTGTTTATGCTGTACGAAAAAAACGTTTAAAGCTATTCTAAGTAAAGTCTATTTACCGATCATGAGGAACGGCGCGGCCAAGTTAATCCCGATGAAGTCGACGCCGGCGTACATGCAAAATCCGAATGCGCACAGTGTTGCCATCGCAGCGCTCAAATTTCCGAGTAGTCCGAGCCACGGTTTCGACCGAACCCAGTCCGTCATCATACAAGTTACTGGAAATATCAAAAATTAATACGTTTTTATTGTTTTTTTTTCTGCAGTAATTTATTGTTGCTCAGAAGTACTGCTGCTGCAATAATTAGACATTGTTTAGCATCGAAAACTACTAGACTTCTAAAGTCTTGCTTACCAATAGAAAACACAGCCATGGTTACAAAAGTGGAGGTAAAATACGGTATCACAGATCGCGTATTCTTCTCTAGCTCGTGGTCCAGCGTCCTGGATGCAAATCGAGCTATTCGTATGTGGTCGAATCGATTTTCCTTATCTTGTATTTGTTCTATTAAGTTGAGAAATGCGTCTTCCCATGCGGATCCCCTAAAAGCGCAATCAATTCAGAGTATTGTAACCAACTAGAAAAGTATTTTAAACTAATGATTAGAAAAAGCCCTTTAGATTTCAAGTTATTATTGTGTAATGCAGTTGGAAGCAAGAAAGAAGAAGAATGACAAGAACAATGTCAGAAGTAAGGCGCGTTTGGAATAATATAAATTTTTGTGGAGCCTTGAGATGAATAAAAGTAAAATTATAAAAGTGCCAACTGTTTAAAAATAAAAGAGCGCGCAATACAAATGACAAAAACAAAACATAAAACAATTATAATGATATAATAATATTAATATATGGCTCGGTAGGTTGGAACCATATTGGATTTTTTTTTGTATTAATTTTAGAAAAACAATTTCACAACATTCTTAAATCAATTTTCTAAAATCTACAATGTAGTTATCAGATAGATTTCTTTCCAGTAGTTTTGTCAAAAAATATCAAGTTTACTCAAGAGTAAAGCACCTGTACACTTGACAATATCGAAGGTTTTTGTGTTTGTTTAATATCGGTTATATTTTGAAAGTGAAGTTTAGTATCTAATTTTTCTAATTGTTTTACTATTTTTTAAAAATTTTCTTACATTTAATTTTACATTTTGCAAATAAAAAATACAAAATAAAAATATATAAATAAATATGTATATGTAAATATATAATAAATTTGTCCATCTAACTATTAATTTTAGAAATAAACAAATTTAAGTTTCACTCATTCCATTAATGCTTCGATACATCCATCGTTTATTGACAAATTCACGAAATACATTCCTGATCATTTCTGGAGAAATTTCTTGCAATTTTTTATAAACGTTTTGAAATTACCCTTCCTGGTAAACTAGTTTCAAGTAGCAAGGGTGTTAAGGTTAGGAGATCTGCCAGGCCAAAAAATCTCAAAATATCTGGACGACGTTTCCATGGATATTTTCAAGATATTCCCTTTACATTCAATGTACTACACTACCGTCCAGTTGACACTAAATACATTGTGGTTCTTGTAAGGGTGGTTCGTCTATTAAGTCATAAATGTGAGTTTCTAAAAACTGTAAATAAAGTAACATTATTCTGTTTTTATAAATGCTACAAGACATGTTAGTCTAGAAGGTCGATTGGTCACGAGATGTGTTATAAAAGTATTGTAAAAAAATGGTAATCGTCTAACTTTTCTTGGATGATACTTTACTCTTGAGTAAACTTCATATTTTTTGACAAACCTCGTTTACTATTGGAAAAATGGATTATCTGATGACTAAAAATAAATAAGATTCCCGCAAGGAAATAAGACATATTGTACACCAAACTAACCTACCAACGTTGAAACATAGTGCTATATATATACCTTTCATTGTTGTCAAAAAATTAAAACTCTCGAATAAGGTTACATAAAAGAACAATAAAGTATGTAATTCGAATTACCAATTATATTTTGTAGTCATATTGTTTTGGTTAATCTTTAAGTTAACCTTTGTGGTTTACCATGATAAAAACATTTGGAGCGAAACAATGTAGACAAAGACACATGACAAAGGATCCCTTAAATGGGCATCCGATGCACATACGAATTTTGAAACCTTTTGTTACTAAAATCGGACCATATAGAAAACAAAAATGAAGGTTTTATTCTTTTGGCGATACTTACAGTGTGTCGATTTTTTTGCTGTCTGCGTTTCCAAAATAAACCAGCTGAACTGAGGGAACGCTTATTATAAGACCGTCATCGCTTACCACGGTGCCCCCAAAGAAAACAGGAAACGCGTGGGCATCAAAAGTTTTTGGATTAAACATTAAGGGAAATGTCAAATTTATAAGTCCTGCTTCTACCTGAAAAAGAAAGTAAAGATGGCGATTAACTTCGTAGCAGACTCCAACATTATATTGCCAAACTTCTTCTTTTACTAAATTTTGATATTGAAAATTTAGTACCTGTTTTAAAATACTGACCAATGGTAGACATTACAACGTTTTTCATTAGTTTAGCCAATAACTGTACAAAATTATTATTAAGTTATCTGCAATGTGCTCCCATTACACATGGAAAGGTAGCAGCTATAAAGGCTATAATTTACCTCCTGAAATATAATCAGTTACTAAACATTATTGTTTTCTTCATATAAAATAATTATTCCATTGACTTAGTTATAATTATTTTACTTAAGAATTTAAATTACATGAATTACACCATGAAATTAACTATATTGTAGAGCTTTTTTTCTCCATAGTTTATCAAATAAAATAATTAACAATTTTAACAATTCGGAAACAATTTTTGCAAATAACTTTTTCGCATTTCTCTAAGGCGAAACAAACTATGGAAAATTGACCCTGTTTGTGGATTTAGAATTTAAATTTTAGAAAATCTTAAAAAATGGCAACCATTAATCTGTCCAAAACTTTTCATTATTAATAATTAATATTTATTTATATCGCCAAAATATAGAGGTGTCTTTATCTTAAATCCGACGCACTGTATGTGAATGAAGATGACAATTATCAAAAATTATTTTGAATTCAACAGATTCCTAATATCGACAATTTTTTTCAAAATTCGTAGATATTTTTATGCTAAGATACCCACGCAATTTTGATAAAAAATAAATATACTCACCAAAATTTTCCCAATATGTGAACATGTGGCCAATAATGGCAATTACTTTACCCATATTGATTATTGCTTAAACATATAAATTGCATTACCTACGTGTTAATAAAAATAGTAATACGAAGAAATAAGAAATCATTGAGAAAACCATTAAAAAGAAAGTAAAAATTGAAAGTATTTAATAAGATTATTTTGGCGGTTTTGTTATATATTTTTTATTATAATTCTCATTTGATTGAAATTATAGAGGTCATTTTACAGCCATGATCAATTTTCGAGAGGAATTAGGAAAGTGTTTAAGGGCACCGTTATAACTCTTATTTTATTGAAGATATAGCATTAAAATCACAAATTGCTTGTATGCTTGTTATCGGGGATTCGTTCAGTCTAACTTACCTCTTCCATGATATAATCCAAATTTAGGATGTCGTTCTGGAAACATTCGCTCATCCATTTTGCGCAAATGTCCGCGTACGAAAAGTATTCGCCTTCGTAGAGGACCGTCATGTTTTGAATCAGTTCGTCGAGCGTTCTCATCTCCTTCCAAACTTCCGTTCGGAGCATATTCTTGTCGCCATCTTTCGTCGTAAGTATTACTCGTCCAAATCTACCTGCAATTTTACTTACTTTACCATATATATATTTTAAATTTTTATTTATTTATTTTATTTATTTATTACAAGTTTAGGTCGCTTACAGTACTTAGTACCAAAAAATAGCAACCACAGTGTTAGTTCAAATCGGTGGATTTTCTACAAAACAAACATAAATCGGAGGTAGAACATTATACAAAAAGAGGAAGATATTTAACACTCATACAGTGCTAAGTTACACTATAAATCCTAATAATTGAGTATTTGATATATCGTTTAAACTGCATCTGAGATATTGAAGAGATGTCGAGGTTAAAATTCGAGTTATATGTATTATATGACCTTTGCATTCTTAGCAAAGGGGAATGCTGCCCTGTGTTGGTTCTACTATATGGGATATCAAAGAGATGAGCGTATCTTAAATCTCGAGCGGGAATTCCAAAGTTAAGTTTCGACAAAATATATGTTTGTTATTTTGTAAAGCATACACAAGTCTGCCAAAGTCCGTTTATTTTCCAAACTAAGTATTTTGACCCGACTTTTGGGTGATAATCTCTTTCTTCTATACGAGTGTGGGTCTTAAGAGCAAGAAATTTTAAGAATTTGCGTAGCCTGGATTCCAGATAACAGATGCGAAGGAAATCCTACTTTGAAAAAACCATAATATAAGGAAATAAGCGTTCTGGGATCATTGTAACTCTTACCAGGTCATTGTTATTTATTTTATAAGTAAAATATATTTTGTTGACTTTTTTGGTGAACGAAATACTGTGACATTTTGCAAGATTTAGAAAAAGCTGATTGTCACTGCAGTATCTTTCAAGCCTGATGAGATCCTGCTGCATTTTAAGGCAGTCCCTGCGGGTCGCTATGACACGAAATAATTTCAGATCGTCTGCATAAAGCAGTATATTGCAGTATTTAAAACACTTACTTATATTGTTTAGATATATAATAAAAAATAGTGGGCCCAGGTGACTACCCTGAGGGACTCCAGACGTTGCATAAAACGGGTCTGACACATGTCCAGTAATCGACACAGCACTTCTCTCTCAGAAATATATGATTGTAACCACTTCACAAGTGGGCTGCACACTCCTACTTCAGCAAGTTCTGCCTGTATCTGTGATGGGTGGTGATGAGATTTAGCGTTCAGGTATCTATTAGTGTGTGTTGGTTTTCTATAGACAGTGTGTTCCAAGTGTCCATCTTCGGTCCTTGTGATGTGCACATCTAAAAAGGGCAGACTGTTATCCTCTTCAAGTTCTATTGTAAATTGAATCCTTGGGTGAATGGAATTCAGATGATCTAGGAATTTCAAAAGCTCCTCCTTGCCAAAAGGCCATACAACAAATACGTCATCAACGTATCTTGTCCATAGTTTTGGCTTCAGATTTGCCTTCTCTATTGCTTTCTTTTCGAAGTAAATCATGAAGAGGTTGGCAATCACAGGTGAGAGAGATGATCCCATTGCTGCTCCATCTATTTGTCGGTAAATTTTCCCGTTGTGCATAAAGTAAGCGTTTTTCAGGCAATGTCTTGACAGATCCATTATGTATGGCGGAAGATCTTCGTTTTCTTCTATAAGCAAGAGTGCCTCTTCTACTGGAATACTCGGGTAGAGGGATTTGACATCGAAACTTGCCATAATGTCGTCCTTGTCCATCCTGAGAGAACCTAAAATCTGAGTGAAATGTTCTGAGTTTTTAACATAGGAATCTGCCTTTTCCACTATAGGCTGAAGTGCACTGGCCAGATGTTTTTCCAGCTTGCATAATGGTGAGTTAAAGGCGCTTACGATTGGACGCAGGGGAACCCCGTCCTTATGGATCTTTGGGACCCCGTAGAATTTTGGGCAACGACTCGATTTTTCCCTCGGAATAAGTTTCTTCTTTGTATCCTCGTTTATTGATGAATCGAGAATTTTGGACTTAGTTGTTTTTTCCAAATATGTCGTGGGATCTCTGGTGACTAGTTTGTATATTGGGTCGTTCAAAATATCCTCCAATTTTGCATTATAATCCGACGTATTCATGACGACAGTGGCATTTCCTTTGTCTGCTGGCATTATTAGAATGTTTTCGTTTTTGTTTAGATTCCTTAAGGCTTGCATTTCTTCTCTGCTTAAGTTTGGTTGCGGTGGTTTTGACTGTCTTAAGACTCTGGCGACATCTTGCCTAATTAACTCCGCATCTTGTTCGTCTATGGTGGAAAGACTTGCTTCGACGTTGGAAACGATCTCTTCGACGGGTACTCTTTTTGGAGCTATTGCGTAGTTAAATCCTTTATTCAGTACGCTGACTTCTGTATCGGAAAGATGGTATGCTGAAATATTATGAACTGTACTGCTTCGGTTTGTATTTGGCACTTGTCCTGATTTTTTGGAATTTGACTGAAGGATTTCTAATTTCTTCCACAGTTTTTTTGACGTGATGTCCTTGTCTTTCTCAGTGCGCCATGATGTTAATAATTCTATGCGGTCCCACAGCAACTGATGGATCTTGTTGCTCAGTTTCAGGTGGAGTCTGAAAAGTTGTAGCTCAGTCTCACTAATTTCGTACCGGGTCCGCCTGATCTGGTCTTGGAGTAGGGCCTTGCTAGCTTTGTCCAGGATAGCTTGTGTCTTTCTGGTGCGTGTGTGATAAGACAACCTTGTAAATGTTGGCAGCAAGTTCTGGTTGCGGCAGCTTTTAAGAAAATTCAAGTTGCACAGCGAAATAACCCTCCTTTGTCTTAGTTTTTCATAACACTTGGTGGCTGTAAAGATCTCCTTCCCGTAAAGGTGTATGATATTCTCACGTATTGATTCACGGATGGAAAAATGTGATGACACTATATTCCGGGATATCATCCGTTCGCTCGTTGAACTCCGACTGGAATCCTGCATCCGACTGGAATCCTGCAAATCTTGCATCCGACTGGAATCCTGCAGACGTTTCGCCAAAATCTCACTTGGCATCTTCAATGCTCGCGCTCCGAAAACACTTCGAACACTGGGAGGTTATCGGCGGTGCGTGCGGTATTTATACTCTGCGCCGGAGATGGTAACGGTGCTGCTTGTGCGTGGGGGGAGGTGGCTCCGCCCCCTGAATTGTCGCGTTGTTAATTTCGCCCGATCGTAGTTGCGATATCTCGGAATATAGTGTCATCACATTTTTCCATCCGTGAATCAATACGTGAGAATATATATATATATATATATATATATATATATATATATATATATATATATATATATATATATATATATATATATATATATATATATATATACCAATTACTTCTGGGTAACAAAAGTTTACATTTATGAGAAGTCACCATCGATGATATTAAAATTTGTTTACGTATTCAATAAACCGCCTTCTCTTAACCTTAGAGAATTATAGCATATGGTTATTGCGTACCACTTTTTTCTTTAATGTTGCAGTTACAATACAATTTGTCAATGTGTCACGGATACCACACAAGGTTGCACAATAAAGAAATTCCACCAACCATGCGTTAATTCTAGATTAGGTAAGATCCGTATCAACAAATCTGGCCGATATTTGAAAAGCATCGTATTCAAGAGAAATAGAGAAAGGATAGAACCAGCAGAAGAAAGTAGCACTTGCTTAAGACCATGGATGGCAGGATGGAAGAAATATCTAAAAATATAAAAGAAGTTCGCGTCGATGGTTGAAAAAAAGAAGGAACATTACTAACTTTTAAAAGAAACTTCCACAAACTACTGCAATACTTTTTGCAAAACTTGTGGATTCCTCCTGCGTCCGTTTTTGCTTAGTCGAACTTGCTGACGTTTCGCCAATCATCCTGTTGACTTCTTCTGGCTGAAACTGGCTCGTATTTTACTCTGTACCTGCTTATATATTGTTTGAGGGGGCGGTGCTAAATGAGGGGTATAAACACCGTCTCGGATGATTGATTCCCATATTGGTGACAGGTAGAGACCTGAGTCGCGGTTAAGATTGTTAGGTTGTTTATATGTTTCTATAGACTCTCGGATTTTGCGTTGGTAAAAGAACTGATTACATACAAGAATTTTAGTTTTATCGAATAAAATTTTGTGTCCGTTTTCATGAGTGTGTTCGGCAACAGCTGATGAGTTTATTTGTCTTAGTCGTAAGGTTATTTCGTGTTATTTGAGTCTAGTTGATATTTTTCGTCCGCTCTCTCCAATGTATTCTTTGCCGCATATACATGGAATGCTGTAAACTCCTGGCATCTCAAATGGAATTTTGTCTTTGACGGACCGAAGATGTTGAGTGGTTAGTGGTAAACCTGGTTTTGACGTTATACATGTTTAGAACTTTTGATGTGTGGTCAGTGATCTTTTGAATGTAAGGTATTGAAAGATTGTGGTGAAGTGTATTTTTTGATGGAACGCTTAATATCTTTAATGTGGAAATTATTAGAGAGAAAAGCAGAGGTAAGGTGTTTTAATTCTGGGTTCAGTGACTCGGGCTGAGATAGTTTTACGACTCTGTAAACAAGAGAGTTGATAACCGATGATTTTTGGGCCGGATGGTGATATGACCATGCATTAAGGTATCAGTATGTGTGTGTAGGTTTTCTGTAAACACAATGACCCAATGTTAGGTCTGATTTTCTATTGACAAGAAGAAGCAAGTTCGGCTCAGCAAAAACCCACGCAGGAGGAATGCAGAAGTTTTGTAAAAAGAAAAATTACTATCTTCGATAGCTGAGCATGTTTATTGAAGAAAAGTTCCTTCCACAGTTATCATGAGACGTTGCTTGGAACGTGACGATATGGAAAAATGTCTTGCCCATTCAATATTTTTTAATATATTAATGATTACCGTGAAAGGCATGGTAATTTACCAATTTGTATGCACGCAGATTTCATGCATTACGTCACGTGGCGTTTGTACTGAATTTTCTCGGCGTATTAAAAGACCCAATCGAGTATGACGTCTTGGTCGGGTTTTAAAATTCTATTTGTTAGGTAATAATCACTATGATTATTATTAATTACGCCGGATTAATTTGCGTAAGAATCCTTGTCAGAATGCAAGAATTTCTCCCTCGGAAGTGAAAAAAAAATAGATATCTATATTTTGGATTTTGTTTCGCTTATTGTTATCTCAAGTACTGTTTTGGAGAAGATAACTATAAACTAGAAGAAGTGGAAGCTCAAACTGCAGTTACATCTCCATCAATACTTATGCAGAGTATATATTTTATACTGAATTAAAGTTTTAGTGGACAGTGACATCAAAATTGTCGTTTGTTATTAATTATAAAAATAATATACACAGTGTACTAAATAAATTGCACAGTATTGCTATCTCTTTTATTATAAGAAATACAAAGTCGATGAATTAGCGAAGTAGTGGTTGTTTTATTTAGATAGCGAATGCAGAAAAAGTTGAATATTTTTTATTTCCGAATAAAACAAAAAACTGCATTTTATGAAACGAAAAATAAAAGTTCCTATACAATATTGCCCATAACATGACCCAAACTAACTCAAATGTTCAGCTCAAATAATTGTTGTAACTGTGTTAAATGAGAATTTTGATTTAAAATTATAAATATTTTAAAATGGTTTTAGAAGAAAAAAGAAAAGTATGAAGAACGGTTTTAAAAAAATGTCCGAAAACCTTTAAATATTTAAAAAAGTTTTTGTTTTAACGCGGGATTTTATTTCATAAAATCGTAGCTAACTTGTTATAACTAACCATAGTAGTAAGTTTAATGTTCCGCGGAAAATTTGCAAATTTTAGAGTAAATATATACAGAGTGTTCCATTAAAAAAAAAACACTAGTTTGCTAATTTCACCGCCTTCGTATCTCTACTAATAAAAAAGTTGGCACATAATCTAATTTTTAATTAATACAGATAATTATATTTTTATATTTTTATATTTTCTTATTTATTTCCTTAGTTCGATGAAAAATATCGTCAACATTTAACAATTTTTTTGTCACAAAGTTGCTATTTTTCACTTCTCAGCTGTTTTTAAACTCATCTAGTCTGCGTAATTAGAATTGAACTCTCCCATCTACCACAAATCTTTTTCTCCGTTATACTTTCTGTTTTATTTAAGTACACATTTCCAATTAAATAAAATAGAATTAATCATGTGAATATTCTTATTGTACTTGCTATTTCTATTAAGAGAAATTAAAAAAAAAAAAACAAAAACAAAAAATTAATATTAATGCAATAAGTACCTGCTCTGGTTATCCTGGCGACGTTAAATCTGCTCGTGTAATTCACTTTGAAGAAAGTTTCGACCACATTTCGTTCGTGTTTTCCGGCTCCATTCACGGGACTAAACAGGTACTCCGGATCGATATTGTTGTGCATTTGTTGGTACCCCGTCATGCCCAACAGAGTCACCAAAACTGGTACTATCAAGAAGTACCCGGGATGTTTTCCCACCACGAGTCCCAATTTGTAGAACGATTTGTTGAGGTAGTTGTCGACTACTTTTAAGCCCACCATCTGCAAAGTGGTATTTTGAGAATTTTTGGTGTCGTTTAGCAAAAAAACAACACTCCAAAATTTTGAATAATGTTTTAATATAAACAAACTTTATGATAACTAGAGAAGCTAAACCCCTAAACAGTTTAAATTAAACTACAAACATTATTTGAGGGGCATATACTATTGCGTTTTATTTTTTTTTCTTCATTAAAAACTCCATTTTTGTTCCTTTTCTTTATATCTATTCCTATTCTTCACTCAACAAGTGCTACACCTAATGTAACAATTTTAAATTTTCTGTCTTCTTTTTAATTCATTATCTCAAAAATTCGTTCATCATTCATATCATATTGTTATTCTTTTATAATGTTTTCTGGCCCTTGTTTGCTGCATAACAGTTCTTGTTCTAAATAAATTATGATAATTACATATTTATTTTTAATTAGGCTGCCGTTAATTTATCACTTGCTCGATATGCTTTGACATCAATTTTCGTTTAAAAATCGAAAAACTTAATTTTGAGCATTTAAAGTTTTTTGAAATAAATACCAATATACCAATATTTTTAAAAGTTGTAAGTATGCACTTACAATGTGATCAATTGTTTTGCCAGTGCAGTATTTTTCAAGCATCAGAAGGAATAAATATGCATAATTTTATTGAACTAAATTTTAATTATTTAACAAACTGAAAAATAATTAAAAACTTGATTTAGACCAAGACTTAATTTTATTTTAGATCCTATGGTATATTATTTACAGTTGTATGTATTATGGAGGTCTGAAGACGTTTAGCAACGTGTGACGTAATCATCAGAACTGACAAACGTTATAATACCAGTAAAGTTTAAAATCTACCGAAAACATCCGATCGATGTAAAACACGTGACTAAAGCACCGGAAACTAATTTTCACAGTATTTGCACAGGGTGTTTATTTGTGACTGATAGCTTAATGAATTTTTAAACTTTTTTGCTATTATTAAATATTTGTTAATAAAATTCTGTGTTTATAATAATTAAAAATTAAATTATGAAAACTTTTAATGCCTACAAAAAGCTTCTAAATCACTTTTTTTTTACAAAATTAAACCAAACATTTCTGGTAAAATCGGGTCTTATCCATAGCCACGCCCCTCGTCGCACTTTAAACTTCGTCATACTCATTGCAGCTGTTAATTTTCGCGTTTACGGAAAAAAAAAATGGTTCTCGTTACAAGCTCGGCTCGACGAGAGGGAAAAATCTCAATTTCACGTCGATTGCTTCGAATTTCGTTCGTTAAGCAATTAAGTTGGTTTATATGTATGCAAGATTATTAAAAATCAACTCGCGCAACTTTTAAAATGTACGTGTATTTCGTCAACGACCGCAACGCCGCTTGAATTCGAAATATCCTAATTGCAGAGTTGTCCCAAACAACCCATATTTGACGTAAAACCTTGCGCTAGATTTTCGGTTTGCACAATTAATAATATCGGCTTTTTCCCAATAAACTTTTGCTCCGGTCCGTGGCGAATTTTTCACGATTTTATCCCCAATTTTTTTCGATTACTACAGTGTTATTTTATTAATAATTCGACATTCAACCACCGCAACCCTGAAAAATCATAGAATCACTATAGAAGAAATAGTTTTCCAGTTATAGGTTTCTTAACTGAAAAAAGAGTTGATTCGATTTCCGGTATATCTAATAGTGCAAAAGATTTTTTGAAGTTTGTAGGCTAAAACAAAGCCTCTACGGACTTAAGCACTCTATAAAATTGACAAATTTTTGTAAAGGATATGAATCAAAACTTTCAAAAGTAGATCCATATATCTTTGTTTTTTGATGTTTTTGAACAAGGTCGAAAGAGAATTTTCAAATCACAGGTTGAATACCTGCGAATAGGCTTCATCAAAATAGATTTAATATACAGGAAGCGAACCTGCGGATCCGTAACACAAAAAACCAACCGGAGGTTCAGCCAAATCAACAGAAAACAACTGAGACAACTGAGGACTTAAAAAAAAGTACTGTGAATCTTCGATTACTCTACAAACTGGAAACAAGCAATCATCTACAGCTGGGCCATGCTATACGAGAGAAACAGCTTGTTTGTTCCAAATTGGGTTAAACGTTCTAAATTGGAGAGTTATGTTGGTCAGAAAACTTTTTTACAACCTAACACCTGTTGTGGAAAATTCAGCCTTCAAGCAGCATCGGAAAATGTTGTCTCCGAATTGTAAGAAGACATTAGAACGGAGACGCTATAGGAGCCCTGTCTGATTGAAGTTGATCCAACGCCGCAAAACATTATATTGTCTTATTTGCAATTTGATTTGTGTATAGCAAAACACATTAGGAGGACAATAGATAGTCCGAATTACTATTAAACTGTACAAAACGGCACAAAAGCGCGGAACTGGAAGTCAGTCGTCCGCATTATTCCAATACCAACGCAAGAGTCTCAAAACGGACTACCAAGAAGAATCGGAGGAATTGAAAATATTATGGAATCAAGGAATCAAGGATGTTTTCAAAAGCAACTTATCACAAAGCCACCCAAAACGAGGTTAAGGTTAAATGATTTTATTATTAAATGTTTTTAATTTAGCATTCCTAGGCAAAAGTTAAAAAAGATTGAGCAGGAAAACGGACTAGCGTGGGCTAAAGAACAGAATTTAGGGTACCCGAACCAACAGAACTCTATTATTTAGAGCGATGAAGCCAGTATGCGAATAGCGTTGGTGATAGTAGGATTTGGGTCATAACAACTAAAGAAGAAGAAGAATTTTGTTATGCTTTAGGGATTTATCTCAGCAAATGGAGTAAGAAAGTTACGCTTTGTGGAAGGTATTTCGAATACTGATAACTACGTGTATGTCAAATGCGTTAAACAAGATTTAATGTATCTTCCAATAAGATGGAGCCACCTGCCCTAGGGCTAAAAAAAAGTACCAAATTGGATGTCAGCAAACAATACTCCAGTTTTAAAAAGGACTTCTAGTATTGAATATCTATTGTATATTATAGTAGAAAAAGTTCCTGTCGAACCCCACAAGAACCGCTCCCGAATTGCGAACCCGTCTCGAAGAAAACACCTGGTGACTGTCGCACGGTAGTTGTTACTATGTCAACACTTATCAAAGCAGTAATGACGCGTGGTAATTTGCTGTTCTTTGGTTTCGTTGATTTTAATTAATGGGCAGTTTTTGGATTTGGAAATATTGATTACAAATATCGTATGTTATCCGAAATACAGTTTCGTTTTTCTAACGTTTTTGCTAATATGACGAATTTCATAAAAAATCGTAGTTCTGTTAGTTGGGCCAGAAGTCGGGAGACTCCTATAATAATGAAACATATTTCGCAAAACTAATACAGTTAGATTAAGAAAAAGAATAATGACATTGTTTTCAATCAAGCGTACTGTGGTAGTTATATTATTAAAACTTTCTAAGCAAAAATGAAATAAACACCATATTATTTATCCCGTTGTAGCAATTAATCAAAAAGTTTGTTTTACTATGCAATCATTTGTAAATTCTTGTCGGGGACGAATTTGAAACTCTTTTGGAATGAAAATGGTAATGAACATTTCAGCTCATATCGTGCAAAGAATATTTTTGTCCCACTGATTTCAGATAACAACAAATCATAACAATTTCAGGCTTAAGGATAGTCGCATCACGTTTTACATGTTACAAATCATCCGAAACATAACAATTGTTTATAAAATTGTTTGTTTATCCGTCTGTTGCCGATCTTTGTTTTGTAATACTCGTCCGACATTGGTCAATTTAGATAATGGCGGTTTTCTTGTCTATTTAACTTCATTGTAACAATTTCTAATTGCTTTCCGAGTCGCTCCAATTAATATTTAATGCTGTATTAATTGATGTCCTAGGTGTAAGTTGAGTGTAATGTGACTTTATTTCAATTCTATTCGCTTTGTTGCGTTTTTTTTGTAGATCATTAAAACTAGATGCTTTTTTGTCAAAAATAAAACAAACAACATTCCTTGTTGAAAAATAAAAATAGAGTATAACCTTTTTTCAAAGCTAAATTATAATTATATTAAATATGTTTTTCTTTTGTGAAGCATTTTTCATTATCCAGTTACCTAAATATATCTAAACTACTGGGATAAGTAATAATTTATAAAAGCCACTCTTTTTCATACACTAATTGCCTACATTATATTTATGTAGTTTTTTCCTTTGTGTTTCGTATTGACTATATTTTTAGCCATGTTTTATTGAATTCTCTAGTTAATTTTTAGTTGGTTAAAGTCGGAAAAATTAACTAATTGTTTCAAAACTTACTAGTTAAGAGATTGGCATCGTCCGGGTGGAATTAAAATCATTGCAAAAGATCATAGCAATCCGACACATCGTTGCTCTAGCGTTTGTCGCACAATATATTCAAACTAGAATGTATGGCCGTGTTCCCCATCCGCTTAAAATATAACCTTTGCGAAATAATGACCATATAATAACTATTATTAGCATCCATTTTTATTAGACGGCATCCTAGCGCAATGATTTAAAAAAATCTCGACACCTAGTTTCCGAAACAGTAGCGAAAAATTTTTTTTTCTTGTTATAGCTTTTTATAGCTTTTTTTTCTAGTCGCGGTAAATTTCACTTATAACCAAATGATTTCGTCAGTTTAGCTTGGTATTCGGTATTTTTGAAATTTTACTGGTAGTCTACTATTCATCCGAATTTGCTGGGGTTTAATAGTTCAAATTAAAATTTAATAATAATTTACAGACCGGCAATGTCATCCGATGAAATAAGATGCATAATTATTAACATTATAAGAATAATTAAAATAAAATCGATATACAGGTCTTAAACTGATGCGTCCCTTCTTCTTTTCGCTCATGGTAAATTATGTAAAGCACTGTTTCCAATACTCTAAGTTTGCATGCTGGGAACTATAAACAGCCGTAAATAGTTTTATCGAATACTGAGAAACAAACAAATTAATTCTAGGCTCAAAAATGACTTTGATTTTAATTACCGCTTCAATAA